GACACCCATATCCTCTTGGCACCATTGGAATCAACAGGTCCTCAACCTATGGTTACAGGGAACCTTCATTGATTTCCAACCTGAAGAAGTCCACATCTACTCGTCCTTACTGTGGGGAGTCCTATCAACCCTTTCCTCCCAATCCTCAAGCCCTCACTCCCTTCTCCGCCCCTGTTCAGCAGGAAGCAGCCAGAGAGAAAGCAACGTCCACAAACCCATAGAGGAGAAAGGGGGGAATGAAGGGTCCCCACCAGTAAGATGGCAAACTTCCGGCTTCTCTTCGGGGTCCTCAGTTCCCGCCGGCGCCACCTGAAGCCCAATCACCTCTCGCCCCCCTCCCAATCCCAACACCTAGCCAACAGCCACCAGCCCCGTAGAAGTGACACCTCAATCAATTTATGCCCCCTCCTATATAACCCAGCACCTTTCCCTAATAAAGCGGAACTCTCCGGTGAATTGCTGCTATGTGTCGCTCCTTTCCTTTCATCGTGGATAATTGGGAACCCCTGGTCAACTTCAGAAGGACCATACTCAGTTTTGCATTTTAGATAAATCACTTTGGTGGCAGTGCTGGGGGAGGACTAGAGCTCCGAGAGGCACAGGGGCCTTCTGGGCTTGGCTGAGATCATGAGGCCTGTGCTCAGGCGGGGCAGCGATGTAGAGAAGGGTTGGCTGCTTAGAAAGTTAATGGAAACAGTAACAGACTGCTGATGGCTTCCTGTTCAGGAGGTGTGGGTGGGAAGGACAATTGGTCCTTGTGACTTAATAAAAGTCATACTGCTTTTAAGAAGGTCTAGAATCTTCCCGCAACCTTTGTGCCACACTGCTCAGCAAAGTGTGTGCTCAACCTTGAGTGCTGAGGCCCCGGGGAACTGCTCCGAGGGGACTGCTCGGGAGATGCGGAGGAGCTGGGAAGACTGACCACTTCTTGACCAGTGGTCCCTTCGTGGGGCTCTTGTTGATATGCCCTCTGTTCCCCACAGGCCCCCTCCCTGAGGTGTGACACTGTCTCCCCCTGAACGGGAGTGAACGAGTGCTTTCACATGCCTTCCTTGCTCAGGGCTGGGCTTTGGGAGGTACAGTGGGCTGGAGGTACCCCTGAGGGCCCTGCCTCCCTGTCCCTCATTCTTTCTTGCTTTTCATGGCCCAGATAACACTTGCGTTTTTTTGTCTCACTGCTCTGAACAATGGTCCTGCTTCCTCTTCTTCCCCGGATGGCTGGGCAGTTGTCTGGGCCTGACCTCAATAGCCTCTAGTCGTCAGAATTCCCTGGAGTTGGGCGCTGCCTGTTAGGGCCCATTTCTCCCACCTTAGCTGTGGATTCCTCTTTGTGGAAGCTTCTCTTTCTTTATGTCTCCCACTGAGAGTCAACATGCCAGTTCTGCATGGGACAATCACTGTCCCTTTGCCCTGAAAATTTACTTTCACCTGAGAATTGTTTAGCAGCGTGGTCCTGGACCCCAGAGGGAGCAGACAGATGGGACTGAATTCCGAGTAGGTGCGTGTGCTATCACATTTAGTCTGAAGTGCTGGGAGGGACATCAACATCAGGGCTAATAAACGAATGAGCCTCTTAGCGGGAGTCGATAGGGTAAGGGTGGAGGGAAGTGATTTGTAGCACACAGAAAAGTCTGCAAAACTGAACTGAAAGCTGGAGGCCCAAATTGAATTCAATTTAAAGTGTGTAGCTTAATCAACCTCTCCTCTAACCCATGATACAGGAGGAAGTGGTTAGGAACGCAGACTTACTCAATGTTCAAAGTAAGGCTCTGACATTTGCTAACTCTGTGAACTAGGGCCAGATACTCTCTCTGTGCTTCAATTTCTTTATCTGTAGAATGAGATTAATTGTAGTCCCTCTCAACTGTAGTTGAGAGGATTAAATGAGAAATATAGGACAGGTAGTACAGAATGCTACCCGGCACATAACAATAATGGTTGCTAACATTTATTAAGTGCTTATTATGGGCTAGGGCTCAAAAATATTACCCATTACTATTACCCACAGTTTGACAGAGATTTTCAAAGACTTAGATTTGAGTGAGGAGAAGCTGCAGAGAGACTGCCTAAGCTCCACACAGAAGAGCATGCATCTGAATCATCTGGGCGGCTTGTTGAAATATTGCCAGGCCCACCCCCTGAGTTCCAGACCCACCAGGACTGGGGACTGTGAGCTGAGAATCTGCAAGGTCCCCCGTGATACTCATGCTACTGATTTGGGGCCAAATTTTGAGATACATGGGCATGGAGTTGAAGATTAAAAAAGATTGCCTTTTTTCTGGGGTCTGTTGTAATGATGCAAGAACCTTTGTGTAAATTATCCTAACATTAAATTACTTTTCCCTTTGCTCTTGGAGCTCTTGACCCCAGGAAGAGAGTTGGCATCTCTTTCAGTCTTTAAGAAAGAGCCAGCAATGAAATATGTTTCCTGCCTCTGCCGCCCTGCTGTAAGCCGTTAGTAGCCAAGAAGGTAGCCAAGATAACAGCACTCAAGGCTGTTATCTTATTGAGTGCCTTTACCTGCCATAAAGATCAGCAACTGTCCCCACTTCATGGGTGAGGAAGTAGAGGCACAGAGAAGACCAAGACATTGTTCAAAACTTAGCGGAAGAACAGGAACGGTGCCTAATGCGTATTATGCACCAACTCTGCTAAACACGCTATATGTATCACCTAATTTAACTCTCCATACACCTGAGTTACTAGGCCTATACTGGAGATAAGGAAACTGAAATGTAAAGAGAGTAATTTGCCCAAGGCAAAGCCCAGTTTCCAATCTGAATCCTGATTTCAAAATATGATCTTCATATTTTGAAGATTAAAAGTAAAAAGAACTGTCTAAATGTCACAACGTCTAGTGAGCCTCCTGGAGAGTAAACATGTCCTGTTCTGTAGCTTAAACAGGGCTTGGAATGTCTTCCTCTTGGGCTAAATTATAAAATCCTCTGCTACCACAAGGGGTCTGTGACTCCAGCACCTCCTTGTGACTCTAGCTCTCCCCTTTAGGTTTCCTCCCTCATTGCCTTCTCCTCACAATCTTCTACCAAAGCACGGTCATTCACTTTATTTCTCGTCTCTCCCATTAGCCTTATTTATTGCTGCCATGTTACTCTTTGCAGGTAGACAGCTGTTTCCTTCCATCTGTCGCAAGTGTGGAAGGAACCTCTACTTGGTTTGGTCAGGGGTAATTGGAAAGTCCTTGGGGAATGAAATATGGCTTAAGAATTTAATTTATGTCTTATATGTGGTATTTTTCTGATTAAGCTTAGGTTTGGCGGTGTTTCTTGGCTTCTGAACTTTTACACTTTGAATCCCCTTTGTTTCTGTAGTGTTGTCAGCTTTTTTTTTTATTTCTATTATTGTTGGTAGCTTTTTACCTGGGCCCCTTGTCAAGCCCTGATACACAGAACCTTCTTGGCTACTAACGGCTTACAGCAGGGCGGCAGAGGCAGGAAACATATTTCATTGCTGGCTCTTTCTTAAAGACTGAAAGAGATGCCAACTCTCTTCCTGGGGTCAAGAGCTCCAAGAGCAAAGGGAAAAGTAATTTAATGTTAGGATAATTTACACAAAGGTTCTTGCATCATTACAACAGACCCCAGAAAAAAGGCAACCTTTACTCAGACCGACAGTTCCCTGATATAATAGTATAATAGTCCTTGGGAGATATTTCAGTGAACAGGGCCTTTGGGTTTGTTACCTCCTTTGGTGACGTGAATGTTGATTCCTATACAGAACCATCCCTGCATGGTTTTCTCTACTGCTCAAGCTTAAATTTTGCCCTTCTATTATGAATGTTCCTTCTTTCACATCAAAAGCGTTGACGATTCTTTCAAAAGCTAGCTGTAGAATCTCTTCTGGGTTTTAGGTGGTTCAACTTAATTAGCTTCAATAATGTTTTATGGAGTTATTATGTTAGAAAGTCATGTTTTCTCTTTTCTATTCAATATTATTTCAGCTTTAAGATCATGATGACTTTTGCTAAGGTATGACTCTAAAATACAGCCCAAGAGTTGTTCAACAAACGGATGTCTCCAGACATATGAGATACAGCAATAAGAGGAATAATCACACAAAATGTTGCAAGTTCCTTCTCTTTGTGGAGATGGCTGCTGTAGCCATGGGCTTCTGAGCAGCTTTCCTGTTTGTTTTATTTACATGCTGACAGGGCCTCCCCTGCAAGACATGGTTCTATTCCAGCGCTGTCCTGTCTTGCTATATTACTTGTAAACGTGGGTCTTGGTTTCCTTCACTGTCCATCCCTAAGGTGTACACTGAAAGGCAGTGCTAACGTTTTATGACTGTGGAAGATGTATCTGCAAAATTGCTAAGTTGCAATATTCTCTTTTTCTTTATGAGTAAATTCCCTCAAAAAGCTACTTTGGAGAAAAAAAAGACCTGCTTCGTAGGTTCAATAGTTTTGTTAACCTAATTGTCTGAATCCAGAAACTGTTTTAAAAAGGATTGCTACTTTAATGGTTTTATATGTACATCTATTATTATAGCACAGTTTTAAAAAATAAAGATTTCTGTAAGTTGTAGAAAAATGAAACCCCGGAGTTGTGAAGGACACTGATCTTTCAAATGAAATATGAAAAAGGCAAAAGGGCAAAATAATAATTCTGGAAATAGGCCCAGCAGCTTTTACAAATGTCACACTGCCTGATAACGTGTGAAGTGCTTCTGAAGGGCTCACAGTGATCCAGCTGGGGCAGCGCCTCTGGGGATACACAGCACTGGTGGGGACAGATGACATTCTGGTTACTAATGAGCAAAAACTGAAACCAAGAATTTAGGTGGAGACAGTCAACTAGAGAGTCTATTACATGTACACGATACCCTAGTCACCCAACTCAGCACTCAGAGGAATAAAGGCTAAGACAGTCATGTTCTTCAGATTTTTCTCATTGAAAAGCAGCCCCTCTGACTTTTCTCCTGAGCAGAAGGATGACAGAAATTGATAAAGGAGAAACAGGTGAAAAGAAGACAAGACACTTCCCTTCAACAAACAGCACTTTTATTCCTGTACTAGTGAGAAAGTGTATAAGATATTATATAAATGCTTTGACCACAGTTACAAATATGAAAATATATTAAGCAAATACATAATTTAAATAGAAAGACTAATGAAGTTCTTTGTTCCAGTACAGTTGGTTAGAAACACATTATTGTGGGGAGGTACTATAGTATGAAAAAAAATAGAATCATCTACTGCCATTTTAAATAATGAGATTTGCAGAGAAAAAAATACACGATATTAAAAATATATCAAAGTGCTCTATTCTGGATTTATTTACATTATTTATTTAAGCTTCACACAAATAGCCAGATGACTTTCCATGCACAATAGTGTTATTAGACACTGACTATGTAACATCCCAAGTATTGGGCCAGGAACAATTTCCACTCAAAAAGTGTACGCTGAATGTCTGTGGGCTGGGCACTGGTTTCTACAAGGTAGGAGTAGAAGAAAGATTAAAGATTTGGTCTTTGTTCTTGCAGAATTTATAAACCTGGTAAATCCCACATGGAAGACCAGAGATCAAGGACTCTTCAGGTAAGAGCACTTATGTACCCAGGTGTTAGTGTGGCTGAGACTAGGAAATCTCACGAAGGCTATTGCAGACCCTCCCACTTGCTTGCAGACAGAACACTGTCAACTCTACTACAAACTCCTAAAGCCACAATTGCATGTGCTCCTTTCTTGTTGGGATGCTTAGCCACTCAGTTATTAAAGCATCTCAAACATAACAGAAAGCTTGATCTTGGAGTAAAGATAGTATTTCTTAGAAGAAATTACTTAAGGCAGAAAATAGCCACAGCTAACCTTTCCTATGAATATTCTAGAGGCGATCCATTATGTTTGGCATTATTCACAGTTTGAACAACTTACTTTGGTATCTTATATAAGATTATGTACATTGGCATATATAGGCTATAAAAATAATCTTTGGTAAATCTGTAATAGAGTTGTTTTAAATTTCCATTACATAAACCTCTGTTTTAGGAGCATTCACCAACAATTTCCTTATATCATGAATGTATCTGTATAGACAACCTTAAAAAAAATAAAATGCCTTTTTGTCACTTACATTTATTCCTCAGGAGCCTCCCTACAAGTCAAGAGTATTCTTTTAGTCAGAATATTTCCATTGCTAGAAACATTTTAAGAGCAGAACAGATTTTTGCTATTATCATGGCTGCATCAAACTCTACCCTGCATTTTAACTAAAATGGCCCTTTTCAAAGGCATCATCTTCAACAAGAATCTTAGGTAGTGTGTTCAGAATTCCAAACTCATTCAATAGAGTCAAATACCTGGTCAATTCCCCAAACTAATCAAACCAATTCAATTCCTTAATCAACTAAATCATCTGACCAACACAAAGTGATCCTCTGGAAGGATAATATGTCATAACAGAAACAAGGCAATTTCAAAGAACAGTCTGGACACACAAAAGGGATGCCATTTTCTCTTCCTGATGATATCTGGTTAGAGTCCCCCTTCAAATATATATCTTTTTGCATTACCTTCATTGCATCACTTCACTAACTTTCTGCAGTCGTGGTTTGCTGATTTCCTTTGATGTGAAACATTCTTTGTATACTTGTGATTTAAAACCTCAGGTCAAACATACTCAGAAACGTAACAGGGCGTTTGGGCTGATAGCCTTTTCCATGCTGATTCTTCAGGAATGAGGTTAGGTTGAGGGCTTGCTCACAGCCACCTGGGTGAGGGTCAGCCATTCCTTCTTGCCACCCTGTCTTGGCTGATCAATTTATTTCCTTTCCTCAATAAAGTGCAACCTGGAAAGCCCTTGAGCCACTACCTCAGACAAGCAACTAATCAGCTATTGCTTTCACCAGGTCAAGTTTAGTCTGGCTCATGTATATGAACTAAAATTCTAGAGCACCCAAGAACTTGGGCTCAGATTCTACAGATCTGGCGGGCTTAGAATTTAAGGATTCCAACCTCAATGACCCAGAAAGCTAACTGAATGAGAATTTAGCATAAGGCTGATAATTTTCTTGCAAAAGGGAAGGAGAGAGTTTAATATAAGAAACTGGATCCCNAGGATTCCAACCTCAATGACCCAGAAAGCTAACTGAATGAGAATTTAGCATAAGGCTGATAATTTTCTTGCAAAAGGGAAGGAGAGAGTTTAATATAAGAAACTGGATCCCGAGACATGAAGGCAAGAGAATCAGAGTGTGAAGTATAACATGTGAGGTCTATTTTTGCATTGTTGGACATCTGCTTAGTGGTTTCATGTTATTTTCACATGTCATTTTAGGCTTTCTTCCAAGAGGTAATAGCAAAATTAATTAAAGACCCAAATAAAGTAAAACTGTCCCCAAGATGTCTGTGTGCTCTGGCCATTTTAGTATTTAAAAGTGAAATCCTGGTCATCTCTTACTTAAGGCAGAAAAAACTAAAAAATACTAACGGGTGGGTATAAGGAGATAAAATGAACAAAAAAAAATCACATTTCACTGGGAAAGCAGACCTATTCAAAAGGGAGAAGGGGACAAGTGGTGAAAAAGAGGGCCTCAGACTGCTAAATAATGGCGAATTAGGAACATCCGCTGAGGACAAATGTGTGCCAGAACAGATAGGAGGATGAGCCTTTGAAAAATCTGACCCAAGAGCTGAAACACTGGCTTCTATCCAGAGAACAATGGAATGATAATATGAAATTGATGTAATGAGTAGAGATGAAAGGAGTTAATTATAAATAACCTGGATAAATAATTATTAAGATGCAAGACGGACTCTCCCAAGATTCAATAGCTCAAAAGCACTTTGAACACTTGATTTCTGGAGTGTGTCGCACAGGTGCACAGACAGGATTGCCCATCACAACAGGAAACGGAGCGTTTCCAAAGACAGAACACATGACGGGATTACATTAAAATACATCCAATTGAGCTGGGTGTCAAGGAAACCTTTTTCTCCCTCCCAAATTTAATAAGTAGATCAACTGGATTATGTATTCAGTCTTTGGCAGTGGTGGGAGGGAAGGTAGTGAAATATCTGTTGCTAAGGAGATTTAAAATTAGACAGGTGGAGGGTAGGAATAAATATTTCCTGGAGTAGACTAGAAGAACGTATAGTTTTTCCCTTGTCATGTCCATTTCCATAACTGATTCCACCCCAGATATGCCAGGGGTGGGGAGTGCTATTTACTCTTACTCTTAGTGTAGGGTTTTCCGGTTTTAATTCTTTGTGCAGTTAATTGCTCTCTCTCCTTGATGCAGTGGTTTGCTAAGGACGCAGCATTAGCATTTGCCAGCCGGCGTGTGGCCTGTGGAAGGCTGCCACTATCCTGGATGCTCGGTTATTTCACTGTCTCCCAGAGGCCCTCTTTCAAGCTTAAGTGAAAATGGTAACAATACTAAATTTATTATTGTGATGCATTCTCTTTACTGAGTAATGTATAGTTTCCAGGACAGTGCCTAGCAGGTTGCAAGCACGTACTAAAACTTTTCTGAATGGATGAAAAGAAATAAGTGTATCTTTTCATGTATTAAAGTGCTTTGTGCCCAGCAATGGGAGTTTACAATTCCGCTTTTTCTCTTGCTTGTTCCTTTTTAGTGCAGGCAAAGCTGTTCTTGGTAGGTACCACATCTCATCAGTCTCTGACCTCGTTTCTCTCCCTGGTGGTACGGCTACCACACTTACATATATGTTGGTCCTTTTCACTTCTAGAAGATCCACCTAGTTCCCTGAAACACAATCAGAGCCTGACACTGTCATTTCACTAGAGCGTTGAGCACCATGAAGCTATGAAAACTTGGAATCCTCTTTACCACTCTTCACATTCATTCTCATCAAGTTTTCTCCTATTTTTATAAACTTCAAATAGCCCTGGAAGTTCTTCCAGTTGGGTGGAGTTTTATGTAATGATAAAAAACTATTTCAGATATAGTTAATGATTTTCAATTAGTGTGCCAGCTACTTCATTATATTACTTAAGGGGCTATGGTATGTAGCAAAAATATATACTTTGAGAAGAAATGCACTCTTTCTGCAAATGAAGCTGTAAGATCAACAAACTTGATCTCTAATTCTTAAGTTTATCATAGAGAGATTTCTAGTGAGAAAAAGGCAAAAGTTCCTGCTCATTTCTCAGGAAGTTACGAGGGTTCCATGCAGAAGCCTTCCAAAATTTCCCCAGGAAGACCCTAGGAACTAGACTTTGAGGAGGGCAATGCCCACTCCTCTGACTCACTGAGATTTGTTACAGTCAATACTGTATATTATCTCCAGTATAAATACTGGAGATAAACTCGGTAGAGTATATAGTGCCTTTTACATTAAATGCAATTATATTAAATGCAACTTAAGGTGACCACTTGATATTTTCACCTCAGTGATTTACTAAAAGAGTCTTTTGGAAAATTTTGTACACCACTGAGATTTTGTTGTTTGTTTTTTAATTAACTATATATAATGTCTGTTGGCATTGCTGTAAAGATGTTGAAATTAGGTCCTTTGATCAGGAGTATAACCTTCCACCACAATCTTCCAAGTATGACTGGCATAATTTTGCCTTTTCTAGGAATGTAACCCGTTGAAAATGAGACAAAGATGAGTGAGTGTACATCCATCCACACATACATTACACTATGGGTATGTGTGTTCACACAACATACCGAGAACGCTGTGAAATAACCTCCCATCACTGTGTGTGGTACTTTGCATGATGACTATATTTCCACTCAGGGGTACAGGTGGCTTCCCCCTTGAGAGAAGGAATTCATCACTTCTGTTGGGATTGTCCTCTATCAGAACTTTCAACCCCACATCCTGGACTTGCAAGTGACATGGCACTGACCTGATCACTCTGACTTGAACCTCTGGTTGTAGAAAGAGGACAGACTGACTAGTTTCCGGACAACAATCTACTTCAGCTTTGGTGCTGCTCAATCCCTTCCATGCAATGCTTGTTTGACTGGTACATTTGTCCAAATAGCATTTAGCTCATCTCTGGATTCAAAGACTCATAGGACAGCAGTGCAGCAAAGCCAGCCGTATGTATGCTTTCTCTAGCCCTGCCATTTAGCCTGTTCAGATAAAAACCACAGCCCATGGGATTGCCGCTACAGCCTCCTCCACACACATTTTACTGCTTGGCCTGTCATACAGGTTGAATCAGTTTACCCAGAATAATCCATGAATACTTTAGTGTGGAAACATAGTATTATATGAAGATTAATATTAAAATTATGAAAAAATACATATTTACAGAAGAAACTACAAAATAAAACTATGTACAATAATATGTTACCTTAAATTATATAAATTCTTTAAAATTCTCCAGATTAATAAATTATACATAGTATCAACAGAAATAGCTGGCACCTCCGTAGGGCATGAAGCAAGATTTAAAAAAAAATCATAAGGTGAATGATTTTTATCCAGGAGATCTTCAGATACATTCTCAATGCCTTGAAAAGTTTGGGTCTGAAAGGAAGGACACTGCAATTAGAGACAGCAGTAAGGTGTGTCAGAGCTGCATGTTCCGCTTATGAGGATCACAAATGGAAAAAACTAGCAGAAATGACTAAAGTTCAAGATAGGATCAGACCATCCCTGTAGAGGCCAGGTCATTCCATTCAGAATCACAGATTACTAGCACTGGAAGGGACTGATGATTCTAGCCCATCTCCCTCGGCTTTATACAGAGGCCCACGGGCCCAGAGAGGCAGAGGAACTCATTCAGTTCACAAGGTGGTTACGGCTAGTTAGTTTTGGAGCTAGGACCTAAATCCAAAACTTTCAGATGCTTGAAGCCAGCCATCCCATAATCAGCTTCTTTCAGGAGCACCCAAAATTACTCTAAAAAAAGACTAACAAACAAGTCAAAACAAGACAAAAGAACCTCCAACAACCCCCAGAGCTACCTCTATCCTGGAGCTTCTTAAAGAATCTGACATGCGAAAACCTTAATTTACTACACAGACAAATTAGGGGGTAATTATTTACAATACAAAAGGACTATGGGATTTACAAAGGACCCCTTTAAATAGCAGCTTGCTCATGTATCTGTACTTCACAGATTAGTTAGTATTCAATATATTGGCTAGGTGGGTGGGTATAGAGGGTGCAGAGGACTAAATAAAATTGAGGATCACTTAGAAACGGAGATAAAATAGCTCTGAAATAATGTTTGTCCAAAAAAAGAACTGATTTATAGATGGACATGGGTCTGCATGGCAAGGAACTGAGGTCTATCTCAATAAGGCATCTTGAAGTGGATCTGCCATCCCGGTCAAGCCTTTAGATGACTACACACCCAGTCAAGGTCTGAACTGCAACCTCATGAGAGGCCCTGGGCTAGAACCACCCTGCTAAGTCCCTTGTAAATTCCTGATCTACAGAAACTGTAAGATAATAAACATTGAGTTAAACTGCTAAGTTTGGGGGTACTTTGTTAGACAGTAATAGATAACTGATTGAATATAATCTCAAATTTGCAGTTCATCTATGTAATAAATCAGATTTTAATAATGTTCTAGACTGGGAAAAGGAATGAAGACCTTTCTTTTGTCAGGTAATTATTGTCTACTCAAAGCAGTGCCTTATAAAGCTTATACATTTTTTCTGACGTTTTCACATAAAAAATGGTGCATGCTTGTTCTAGAAATTCAGAAAATACATGAAATAGAAGAAGAATCACATATTGTCTTGCTGCTTAGAGAAATCTGTTTTTACTACTGTGGTATATTTCTTTCCAGTGTCTTTTCCCCCCACTGTGTATTGTTTTTGTTTGTTTTACAGTCTGCTTTTCTTACTTTTTTATAAGAATATTTATATTATTATGATATCCTCAAAAATATCCTTCGTAATGACTGCATCATATTCTATTAAGTGACTGCACCATGGTGTACTTAGTCTCCCACTGTTAAGTACTTAGTTTTTTTTCACTCAAGACTTTTAGCTATGAAAATCATCATGCACAAAGCTTTTTCAGTACTTTGGTGACAAGATAAGACCATATTAAGGACCTTGATAGATATGGCCAAATTATTCTCCAAGGGAATTTTACAATTTGAATTCCCAGTTATGATTTTAAAGCTTCCTCCCCAGGGATGAGCCTGATTGCGTAGAGAAGAAATGTTAGGCAGAGTCCTTAATAGAGGACCCATTAGGCCCGATAGGAGGCGATACCACGGGACATCCGTGCCCCGCTGGGGGGTCCCCTCCCCACTCTGCCTCTCCTCCCTGTTGCCACGTTGTGAGGGCCTTTGGATAGAAGAAATGGATGGTGCATGTTGGAGGGGTTTTATGTTATTAATGGTTTCCAGATTCATCAGACCTTGATAGATGAACTTACAGGTTAGCAAAGTAAAACACTCCTACCTCTGTGATACTCTGGATTCACATTTTCGTAGATTGGAAACAAGGGATTTTCTTGTTCACTCCGCAGCTTCCTTGCTCTAAGGACATCCCTTACACATTGATGTAGATATACATACTGACACTACGAAAAAGCAGAAAACATGTCAGAGCAAGGCAAGTTCTCAAGCATAAGAAAGTCGAAGGAATCACAAAACATCCACAGTGACGGGGGCCTATATAGTCAACAAATTTAAATAGATGAATGAATTATGGCATTTTACATAAATTATCTCATTTGAATAATTTGACGACCTTGTCAAACAGATATACTCATTCATATGAATGGAGACTCAGAGAAGTTAAGAAACTTGGATCCAAGTTCACACAGCTAAGAAATGGGCCCCTAGGATTTGATCCTAGGGTTCACATTCACATTCTTTATACTTCACCAGTTTTCTTAGATGAATCCTAATTTCACTGCAGTGTTGAATGAAAAAAATCTTTTCACTGTGTACTCTGCTGTTTTGTTCCCTCTCTTTTGGAAGTGGAGTGGGAAAAAGGGGGCATGCACAACAGACCCCACTGGACTGTCAGTTCTTTGAGGGCAAGGTCAGTGTCTTATTTATCTTGGTTTGTTCAGCTTCCAAGTCTGGCACCAGGAAGAATCTCAGAGATGCTGGCTGACTGCAGGGAACTACAAATGGTTACACAGTGTCACAGAGAGTCACTATTAATCATCTGGGAACTCATTAATTATGAAATAGAAGCAAAGATAGAAAAGCCAGTGTTTTGGTGACCACTAGGACACCCCAAAGACCTCCACTGATAGCAGAAGCTCCACAGGCAGCTGACCCTGTGCACTGGGCCTCCTTCCTTCCTTCAGGCCGAGCTAAGGGATGGATGTCTGAGCTACCTCAGCGCTTGGCATTGGCCCCGCCAGGTAACACTGGAAGTGCTCAGAGCCCAGGCACAGAGGAGACGGCCGGAGATCACAGCAGCACGAGAGGGACACTGGGCTTCTGGCCGGCCTCCTCTTGCCCTGGTTGTGGGCTCAGGATTTTAGTTCCCTGTCTATAAAACAAGGAGGCCCCGGTTTCGCCTACTGCTAACTTCCTTTGACCATTCAAGGGTAGAAGACTTTTGTTGCTGTCTGTTAGATGGATTCTGAAAAACATTCCTGGTCCCCATGTTTAAGGTCATTAGTGTGGTCAGCTTTAGAGTATTTTAAAGGTTTGAGATACAACTGAGAGTATAAGGTCTTCCATCACCAATGATCTTTAAAAATGAGCAAGTATTTATTTTTATGGGTTTGCTCTAGGCACTGCCCCTGATAGGAGGCTAGTGTGGTCCTCAACCAAGGGGACTTTATAAGGTAGGTTTGGAATAATCATTAGATTCAGACATTTTAAAGGAACTAATCAATCACAAATAAGGCCTGCATTAATATTAGCTATTCTCTGCATTTCTGCTCAGAAACCCTACTCATATGTGGTTGTTTTATGTGACCCCAATCTTGAAAATTCGAGGATACTCTTCTGAAAATAGTGGTTAGCATAGACAGCTTCTTTTTGCCATCTCGAAAACAATTCACCAAATATACACCAGCACATTCCTGTTTCCTCCCATCCAAAGCATGATTCGTATTTTCAATCCTACTGGGATATTACTTTGGGAGCTTAAGAGTTCAGCTGTGGCTGAGCTCTAGTACCCCTGTGCTACATCTTATTAATAAATTCTTCAACAGTGACCCACCATTGGCTTTGAAACCAGTTAATATTTATTAATTTTCCTTGTCTTAAATTCTCCTTTTCTCAGTAGACTGTCCCTTTGAAAATGATTACTACTAAAATCTTCAGATTGTTAATGTGCTTCCCACTTTATTCTTAATGGACTCTAATTTATGAACCTCAGATTGTAAAGATCATTTTTTGCTCTGACTTGTGAAGCCTCAGTTCTATTCAATTTCACTACCAGTTGTAGTGTAACAGTTGCAGTATTAGATGGTATTTATAGAATTGTAGTCTTTCATGGCTCCTGAGTGCTCAGTTTAGTAAAGAGGTGGGTATGTGAACAAATATCTACAAAATGACAAATGTAAGATACAATTGTGCATAAAGCTTCATATGTAAGAAGCAGCCATCAGGTTCATTTTGTAAGAAGGGAAATATCGAACTAGAGAGAAAAGATGACATTTGTAAGAATCTGAGCAAAGAAGTACGGACAGTCCAAGTGATGTAAATAATATGAAAGGGCACACATATGTTCTGGAAGCTGTGAAAAGTCTAGTGCTGCTAAAATGAAACGTGTATGGGTCATGGGAAACCGGCAGGACAATCCCCCAAATGGGCACTGAGATGCTTATTCCTCCAAAATCCCACTATTTCCTCCTCATGGGAAGCAAATGAGATTGACAGCCTGTGATTATCACCTATTGTTCTTTGAGAAATGATTACTTCCTCAGTGTCTCTCCTAGAGCCAGGCTGAAAATTTCCCCTAAGGCAGGCTAGAAGGAGGGATACACTTGAAAATACCCTATGGAATTGCCTCTTTGTTTTAAAAATTCTTGCTCTTTGATATACTTATTAAAACTTGTGAAGATTACATCCCTTTGAAGCCCAAATAAGGTAGAATGAAGCTGAGAGGGTGGCTGTTCTCCAAGGACACAGACAAGTAACATAGGGGTCGGAATGTCCTTCTTTCTCTGCCTCCTTTGGCTCAGCTGTGGATCACACCACCGGTGCTCACTCTCAGGACCAAGTGAGCCACCTCAGCTCTGGGGCCAGGGCTTCTGAGACTATAAAGGAAGCCCACCATGGGCAAATAGTTAAACAAGACAGGCGATATCTGGATATTGTTTGGGATTTTGTTTGACAGAGTGTGGACAAAATTGCAGTATTTTGAGAATCTTTTGCCTGGCCTTAATGCATCTCCATATCAACAGGTGTTTCCAAGGGGTGGAGAGAATAATTCATCTCCATATCAATAGGTGATTACATGGGGAAGGAGGGCGTTATTTGGTCTGGAAAGGTTGGATGGGGTCCCTTTTTGCAGCCGGGTTGTGAGAGACATGGGCAAGCAGAAGTGGACAACTGCTTGTAAGCAATAAATGAGTTTCTCCCTTTGACTGATTTTGGTTTCAAAGGTAATTTGCCCCAGGCTGGGAACATATTTTCCCCCATGAGTTCATAGAGAAAAAAAAAGGAGAGAAAAAATTTCTATCTTACTACAATGCTTATTTTATTATCAAAAGAACCAAAGTTGGTTCTGGCCCAGGTTGGGGGAAACTTTGTTAATTGTGGCAGATTGTATAACAATGGGGGTGGGTCATGTTCTGACCGAACCTGGAAAAGTCAGCTGGAGCCAGGTTATGAAGAGTCTTGTATACTGGGCTGAGAGTTTGAACTTTGCTTTAAAGCAATGGTGAGCTTTCCAAGATATTAATGCAGGGAGTTGACACAATCAGAAAGTAAGAAACTTTGCTTGGGGCAGTGGTGACAGAGTTGTTAGGGCAGAAGCTGGAGGCAGGAGCTCCACTCGGAGGTAACTGCGCTCCCATGGGGTCAGTCCAGGGCTGAGCAAGGGCCCTGGGGGCCAGGTTAGACTAGATCAAGAGGATGTAGAGAACCAGGAGGACTCAGTGCTGGCTTGAGCGTGGGAACCTCAGGAAAGGACGTGCAATCACTGCTTGGGCAGATGGACAGCAGCACTGTTTACTGAAACTGGAAGGAGCAAGAGCAGGAGTGCTTTTCCTGTTATTGTTTCTTTCTTTAAAGATGGATAATGAGCTCAGGTTTGAGGGTTTTGAGTCTGAGATGACTATAAGTTCCAGGTGGAACTGTCCGTAAGCAGGTACTTAGGTGAGTGCTGGGGAAGGAGAATGAGATTGGGGAAACATGAGCCGCGTACATGGTTCTTGAATTCATGCAAGTGGAAGACATCACAAAGAAAGAAGACGGAGAGAGAGAAGAGCAGTGCCTGAAGGAAAAATCTCTGGGAACTCTAACACTGAGGAGTCAGAGCCATACAATCCTCAGGAGGTTAGGAGGAGAAGAAAAGGACTGGGAGAAGGACTTACATCCCGGGAGAAGGAGGAAGGAAGAGCACTGGCATATCGTGCTTGCCCTCAAGCCAGCCAGGGGCATTTACAGTAGGGAGCACCTGCTCTGTGCCAGAATGTGTCTGCAGAGTTGCGGGCAGGTGTATGGAAGTGACCCATGGACCCAGAAACCTCTAACAATAACTAAGGGGCCTGGACACACAATTCCTTACAATGTGATCACCTCCTCTTTCCCAAATTACATATTAAGTATGGTTCACATTTGTGGAAATGACACTACATTAATAATCACTGATGCTGATTTTTAGCAACATAATTGTAGGATATTTGTTCATTCATTCAACAGATTCAAAAAAATATTGAGGATAGAAAGAAGGGAAACAAGTTCCTAGCCTCTAGGAGCTCAGTCACATGGAGAAAGCTGAAGGATAACAACTATGATACAGCGTGATATAATTCTACAGCCTGTAATGAAGTAACAGACTCAGCCACAGTCATCAATGGCTGCCCAAACCACTGAAAGGTCTTGATGAAAAGGCTGATGGGGAACATTACAGTGGATGGTCACTGCCAGTTTCATTAGCATGGAGAGAGACACAGACAGGAAGTGATGTGACCCAACAGGAAGTACCTCAGCACCAGCTGTGAGGTGTTTTGGTGGTAAAGTGAGCCTGAATTTCATTGAGCCTCTAGATCTAATGACCCGTTGACAAAAACTATGGGGATAGAGGAATACATTACCACCATGGAAAAGCAGTCAGCCACACCCAGAATGGGAAAACGTATGGAACAAATGAGCTGGTTTCAACAAATAAATGGCATGGGAAACAAATTGGAGGGAGGGTTATTATGGATTTAAAAAGTTTAAAAGAGACTTCAAACAAATGCGATGCATGAGCTTTGGATTCTAATGCAAACCAAAGTATAAAAGGTAATTTTTGAGATACTGAGGGATATTTAGACACTGGATATTAAATGACACTGGGTATTAGATGATATTAAGGGATTATGGTTAAAATTGTTGGATATGATAATGGTATTGTGGTCATGACTTTAAAAAGAATACACACACACACATACATTATTTAAGGATGCAATGGTGTTTGATATGTAGGATTTGCTTTAAATTGTTTCAGTGAGATCATGGGGTAGGAGAACAGTGTACGTGGGATGTAGATGAAAAAGAACACAGAGCACTGATAGTACAGAAGCAGGGGTTTGAGTACCTGAAAATTCCTTACACAATTTCCCCTAGTTTTCATGTATTTTTACAAAATTCCATAATGAAATATTCAAAATAGACTGTATAGTTACAGTGGAAGTACTCCCCGCCCAAGCAATGGTGGTGACAGGATGCCATGTGTGGGCACTACCTCCTGGAGGCAATGACACCAGTGTTTTCTCAGATGTGTTCAAACACCTGAGCTATGCAGGATATCAGTATGTGCTGCATAAGAAAAGAATCCACGGTCAAGGTGGTTTTGGGAAAAGTGGGTTCAACAAAGCTTAGGGGAGGCTTATTGTAGGACACCCCCTTTCTATACAGCCCGCCCCCTGCATGGTTTTCATGCTGTGACTATATGAGAGGAACCTAAGGCAGGCTAGAAGGAGGGATACACTTGAAAATACCCTATGGAATTGCCTCTTTGTTTTAAAAATTCTTGCTCTTTGATATACTTATTAAAACTTGTGAAGATTACATCCCTTTGAAGCCCAAATAAGGTAGAATGAAGCTGAGAGGGTGGCTGTTCCCCAAGGACACAGACAAGTAACATAGGGGTCGGAATGTCCTTCTTTCTCTGCCTCCTTTGGCTCAGCTGTGGATCACACCACCGGTGCTCACTCTCAGGACCAAGTGAGCCACCTCAGCTCTGGGGCCAGGGCTTCTGAGACTATAAAGGAAGCCCACCATGGGCAAATAGTTAAACAAGACAGGCGATATCTGGATATTGTTTGGGATTTTGTTTGACAGAGTGTGGACAAAATTGCAGTATTTTGAGAATCTTTTGCCTGGCCTTAATGCATCTCCATATCAACAGGTGTTTCCAAGGGGTGGAGAGAATAATTCATCTCCATATCAATAGGTGATTACATGGGGAAGGAGGGCGTTATTTGGTCTGGAAAGGTTGGATGGGGTCCCTTTTTGCAGCCGGGTTGTGAGAGACATGGGCAAGCAGAAGTGGACAACTGCTTGTAAGCAATAAATGAGTTTCTCCCTTTGACTGATTTTGGTTTCAAAGGTAATTTGCCCCAGGCTGGGAACATATTTTCCCCCATGAGTTCATAGAGAAAAAAAAAGGAGAGAAAAAATTTCTATCTTACTACATGCTTATTTTATTATCAAAAGAACCAAAGTTGGTTCTGGCCCAGGTTGGGGGAAACTTTGTTAATTGTGGCAGATTGTATAACAATGGGGGTGGGTCATGTTCTGACCGAACCTGGAAAAGTCAGCTGGAGCCAGGTTATGAAGAGTCTTGTATACTGGGCTGAGAGTTTGAACTTTGCTTTAAAGCAATGGTGAGCTTTCCAAGATATTAATGCAGGGAGTTGACACAATCAGAAAGTAAGAAACTTTGCTTGGGGCAGTGGTGACAGAGTTGTTAGGGCAGAAGCTGGAGGCAGGAGCTCCACTCGGAGGTAACTGCGCTCCCATGGGGTCAGTCCAGGGCTGAGCAAGGGCCCTGGGGGCCAGGTTAGACTAGATCAAGAGGATGTAGAGAACCAGGAGGACTCAGTGCTGGCTTGAGCGTGGGAACCTCAGGAAAGGACGTGCAATCACTGCTTGGGCAGATGCATGGAGGGCAGATGGACAGCAGCACTGTTTCCTGAAACTGGAAGGAGTAAGAGCAGGAGTGCTTTTCCTGTTATTGTTTCTTTCTTTAAAGATGGATAATGAGCTCAGGTTTGAGGGTTTTGAGTCTGAGATGACTATAAGTTCCAGGTGGAACTGTCCGTAAGCAGGTACTTAGGTGAGTGCTGGGGAAGGAGGATGAGATTGGGGAAACATGAGCCGCGTACATGGTTCTTGAATTCATGCAAGTGGAAGACATCACAAAGAAAGAAGACGGAGAGAGAGAAGAGCAGTGCCTGAAGGAAAAATCTCTGGGAACTCTAACACTGAGGAGTCAGAGCCATACAATCCTCAGGAGGTTAGGAGGAGAAGAAGAGGACTGGGAGAAGGACTTACATCCCGGGAGAAGGAGGAAGGAAGAGCACTGGCATATCGTGCTTGCCCTCAAGCCAGCCAGGGGCATTTACAGTAGGGAGCACCTGCTCTGTGCCAGAATGTGTCTGCAGAGTTGCGGGCAGGTGTATGGAAGTGACCCATGGACCCAGAAACCTCTAACAATAACTAAGGGGCCTGGACACACAATTCCTTACAATGTGATCACCTCCTCTTTCCCAAATTACATATTAAGTATGGTTCACATTTGTGGAAATGACACTACATTAATAATCACTGATGCTGATTTTTAGCAACATAATTGTAGGATATTTGTTCATTCATTCAACAGATTCAAAAAAATATTGAGGATAGAAAGAAGGGAAACAAGTTCCTAGCCTCTAGGAGCTCAGTCACATGGAGAAAGCTGAAGGATAACAACTATGATACAGCGTGATATAATTCTACAGCCTGTAATGAAGTAACAGACTCAGCCACAGTCATCAATGGCTGCCCAAACCACTGAAAGGTCTTGATGAAAAGGCTGATGGGGAACATTACAGTGGATGGTCACTGCCAGTTTCATTAGCATGGAGAGAGACACAGACAGGAAGTGATGTGACCCAACAGGAAGTACCTCAGCACCAGCTGTGAGGTGTTTTGGTGGTAAAGTGAGCCTGAATTTCATTGAGCCTCTAGATCTAATGACCCGTTGACAAAAACTATGGGGATAGAGGAATACATTACCACCATGGAAAAGCAGTCAGCCACACCCAGAATGGGAAAACGTATGGAACAAATGAGCTGGTTTCAACAAATAAATGGCATGGGAAACAAATTGGAGGGAGGGTTATTATGGATTTAAAAAGTTTAAAAGAGACTTCAAACAAATGCGATGCATGAGCTTTGGATTCTAATGCAAACCAAAGTATAAAAGGTAATTTTTGAGATACTGAGGGATATTTAGACACTGGATATTAAATGACACTGGGTATTAGATGATATTAAGGGATTATGGTTAAAATTGTTGGATATGATAATGGTATTGTGGTCATGACTTTAAAAAGAATACACACACACACATACATTATTTAAGGATGCAATGGTGTTTGATATGTAGGATTTGCTTTAAATTGTTTCAGTGAGATCATGGGGTAGGAGAACAGTGTACGTGGGATGTAGATGAAAAAGAACACAGAGCACTGATAGTACAGAAGCAGGGGTTTGAGTACCTGAAAATTCCTTACACAATTTCCCCTAGTTTTCATGTATTTTTACAAAATTCCATAATGAAATATTCAAAATAGACTGTATAGTTACAGTGGAAGTACTCCCCGCCCAAGCAATGGTGGTGACAGGATGCCATGTGTGGGCACTACCTCCTGGAGGCAATGACACCAGTGTTTTCTCAGATGTGTTCAAACACCTGAGCTATGCAGGATATCAGTATGTGCTGCATAAGAAAAGAATCCACGGTCAAGGTGGTTTTGGGAAAAGTGGGTTCAACAAAGCTTAGGGGAGGCTTATTGTAGGACACCCCCTTTCTATACAGCCCGCCCCCTGCATGGTTTTCATGCTGTGACTATATGAGAGGACATGCAAGCAGGTAGAGTTCTTCACCTTTTTGACCATGGGAATTGTTTCTGTTTTTTTTTAATAGAGGATTTTACAGTTACTTGGAAAAACACAGGGGTAAGAGAACCTGCATGGCAGTTATACAGGGGAATGAATGACAAGCCTGGTCTGTATGGGGGCACAGATCTGACCCTGAGACTGTGGGGCAATGCACTTGAGGCTTAGGGCTTGGTTGGGGTTCTCCAAATCCCAGCTCAGCCATTTCATAGCTGTGCCCAGCCCTTTAGCCTCTGAAGTTCAGTTTTCTAGCCTGGAAATGGAAAATAATACCTCTTTTATCAGCTTTTCTGTGAAAATTTGATAACATGTTCAAAAATACCCTGTAAGTACCAAAGGACTATGCAAACGGAAGCATTTATCCTTTGCAATCAACGTACACTCCCTTGGTGTCTCCAGACATAGGGTGGACGGGAGGAGGGACGAGATGGGAATCTGTTTCTTCCTTACTAAATGAAGTTCTTGTGCTCACCCACCAGCCTGTCTTAAAAAGACCTTCAAGATGGACCAGCCTGGTCTGTCCCCCATGTATAATGCACTGATCTACAAAAATCCGTCCTTCCTCCTACACACCTAGAGAAGATGGGCAGCCGGCCCACATCATCTTCAAGGTCCCTGAAATTTATTTTAAAATTACAAGGCCTAGAAAAGATCTTCATTCAGTCCTCTTTCTCTTCCTGAGTCATAGTTGCCTGCCCCTGTCCGATTAACACCCTGGACATTTTGGGGGAGGGAGACAGGGAGCGTGGTCTGTGTGCCTCAGCCCGGACCTCTTACCTCAGTCTGGACCATGTGAGCCCTGTGAAGCCTTAGGTCGTGCACTGCTCCGTAAATGTCCACTGAGTCTTTGGAGTCTAATTGCTGGAGTAGTCGGTCCAGTGCGATGAAGGTTCCAGTCCTGCCCACACCAGCACTGGGAGAGACACAGGAGGAAGGCTGAGCCGTCTTATTGAAGCAGCCTCACAAGGCTGCAGCCAGAGACTCGAGCACAGTCTTTCTTTTGCCTCCCAAGTTGGGGAGAATATAGGGCCACTTCTTTCTCTCAGTGTGCTCTCTCGAAGCAATATAAACTAGCACACTGGCCTTCCAGCTCCTTCTCCTTCCTTCCTCCACCCTGCCAGGAATGAGTACTGCTCTGTACTTGGTGTGTATGATTTCCATGACCATTTTTATGCTTCTCCTGCATACATGTGAATCCATAAATAATACATTTACATTATGGGTTTCAAAAATTTACTAAAATGGTAATGTGTTTTATGTATTATTTTGCCAACTTTTCTACTTAAACTGTGTTCTGAGATTTATCCATGTGCATGTAGATCTAATTTCTTTTAACAATTCTTCAGAGGTCATAAACCACTGCAACTTCATCTATCATGAATCCATTCCTGACTGATAAACAGTGGTATCACTTTCAGCTTGTTTCTTTAAAAACCATGTTGCACACATGGGGATTTCTCTAGGGTTGACATCTAGAAGCAGAACTACTAGGTGACGGGGTGTGAATACCTTCAACTTCACTCGCGATTGCCAAATTGCTTCCCCCAGTGATTGTATAACCTGGGGATTTTTGGTGCACATATTTATAAGGTAAAGAAGAACAATTCTCCAGTGGTACTGGGTGAAAATGCCTGCCATTCTTCAGAAAGCAGGAAGCTCTGGAGTGCCTCACATTCCTATTCAAAGCATCAGGTTTCTGATGACATAAAAGCAGGGCTCCTAGGGTGCTGGGCTGATTGGGAGAAAACAAGTGCATTTGACATTTCTCTTACAGTAGCAATTCCCTGCTCTTTATTTATTAGTGCCATTCAGTTAGGCCTATCAAAGTGTTGCTGCAAACATTAATTAGGTAAATACCAGGCTCCCCAGAGAGAGAGAGATTGCTTATAAGGTTGATTTTATGGGCATATAGTCTAAAGCAAAGAAAAGTCAAGCGGGAGAAAGTTAAGAGCAAAATTGGTTTTGCTCTTAGAGATGGCAAATGCTCCTTGACCTGGAGGGAGGTCTAGAGCAGGGATCCTGAAGGATAGTTAGGGCTTATATGAGTGCAAGAGAGATATGAGACCATTCCCAGGAGTAGGAATGGCAAGAGGCCAGAATAGGCACGTGCAGCCTCCTTTCTGGCAGGAGTTGGAGGTGAGTTTCTGGGAACGTGGATTGGGAGGTTTCATAGGGCCCTATTCTGGAGACCCTGGAAGTCACACAAGGACTCTGCATTTTGTACAGTAGGAAAAAGAGCAAGAGGGAGAGTGAGAGATGGAGAGCGCGGGTGAGAGAGAAGTGGGAGGTGGAGAAAATGGAAAAGAAGAGGCCTGAGAAAAGGCGAGAGATTGGGCAGAAGGGAGTTGAGTGTGTCCCGGCTTCCTCGGAGCCCAGCCAGGCTGGTGGGCCCAGCCAAGTAAATCCTCTATGCCCCAGATTCCCTGAGCTTATGCCTTGTTTCAGACTCCCGGCTGCCATTCATGGGCCCCGCGTGGCTGGGTACCTGCAGTGCACCACAGAGGGCCCAGCACCAGGGGTCCTGTTGATGTAGTCCCTGACAGTCCTCACGAACTGGATCAGGGACTGGGTGGTCTCTGGGACACCATGGTCTGGCCACACAGTGAAGTGAAAGTGGCGGATGAGTCTGTGTGCATCCAGCTGCTCCTCCTGTAAGAGCAGAGGGGGTCATAAGAGAAGGGCCTAAGGCAGAGAGCTTCCTGTGTGAGGGCTGGGCCCATACAGCAGTTCCCATGGGCTGAGGCTGCAGGGGAGGAACCAGCAGAGACGGGGGCCAGAGTCGTCTTTCAGCTCCCCAAGCTGGGCTGTCAGATGAAGTCAAACAAACTGACTTACGCTGCATATCCTAAATTCCCGGATGGTCCACTCAGGCAGCACAGATTCGGAGAGCATCTGCAGGATGAGGTCCCCATAGTAGAGGGAATCCTGGTCTGCTGGCCAGTAATGGTCACACTTTACCTAGACCAACACAGAGCAAAAGGGAGTCTGGAAACTGATTCCTCTATGAACTTGGACTTTCCCTCCTTGGAAGGTCTCCCTGAGGAGTGACTGTGGATCAGCTGCTAAAACAGTCTCCTCATTGCTTCTGCCTAACCTACTGGTGGCCTGTGCTGCCAAGGGGCTGCTGCTGTGCATGAGCAGAGATGCAGCCCAAGGAGCAAGCCCGACTTCTGGATTCACCTACCTCCCAGGCGCATGGCCTGTGTTGTTCCCTCAGCATTTCAGTTCCACTAGCAGACAGACCATGTCTTGCAATGCCTCTTTCTGAAGAAAGATCTAGCTGGGCAGAGGCAGGCACTGTCTTCCTGTCCCTGTTCTGTTTACATTTGATACCACTGTCCTAACCCAGACCATGTGCCATGTGCCAAGTAATCTTTGGACAGTCGGACATTTAGCTAAGTTCACATTTACATGTGGAAAGGCAAGAGAAAGGATTATGAACATATATTTATTGACCAGAGGTACTGGGTGCTTCTCACGTAATCTCTCTTTTAATCCTCAAAGTCACCAGGAAAAGCAGAAGGCTATGAGTACAAGAGCTTTGTTTAATTTGTCCAGATCTATTTTCCCTTGTGAGCAGAGACAGCTTGAAGTTCACTTCTCTCCTAAAAGTAGTAACAGAGCCAGTGACTCTGGCAAGGTGCCCCTCTCACTATATACGGAAGGATGGACGCTCCCGACAACCCAGGGATCAAATGGCGACGCCTTTGACTGAAACTGCACACCCAGAACCAGAATCAGGCATCACCTACTAGAGCCTTCTATAACCGAGTGGCTTTCTTCACAAACAGTGTTCTCACATGCTGCCTATGCTTTTGGGGGAGTTTCGCTTTTGATGGTGGGATAGAATTCCATCTAGGTGAAGGAAAGCAAAGCTCAGAAGTCAGGGAGACTGTTCACTCACTCGGCCCTTCTCCACACACTGGGTCACCATGACGATGTTGTGGACGTTCTGTTCCCAGGCCATTTTCCAGAAGTCATCCTTGGTGCCAGGAAGAGGTCCCTGAGTAGCGATGTATTCTCTTCTGAAGCTGTTGCCCTGCAATGGATTTACAATATGGAGAGTCAGAAACAATGGGCCTCTTCAGAACTATAAACAAAGCATTAGCTATGCAGATTGGATGATATACTGGTCTTTGCCAGGCCCCTGACTTGAGAAAAAGATACTAACAGAAGAGTCAAGGCTTGGGAGCAGGAAGGACAAAGGCCGGAACACATAACTATTGTTAAAACACCCAAATCCCACTTACTAGGCTGGTTCTATTCTAAAGGGCAGAGGAGGACTCAGGCAATAATCTAGAAATGTGTGTGTGTGTGTGTGTGTGTGTGTAGACTGTCTGAAGGACTGACTTTGGTCAGGCTCTTTCCCTATTTCATGTTGAAGAATTGTGGTGATTTGGATAAGTGACACTCAAATGCTGGTAAAAGATATCATGCAAGAAAACTTAAGGAAGAGAAACCACTGCTAAGTGAGCATCTACCTGGTGACATGCCATGGGTCAGAGCTTTCACAGATCTTACTTACTCTTAACCATAACTCTGTGAACTAGGATATTTTCACCCACTTATTCTGTACTCCAGAAACACAGAATTACTTACAGATCCAAGTTGAGGTTTTTTCTCTCCTCGCCTCTCCTCGGGTTGTCTACATTATGTCACCTCTGCCACCCCCCACCTCCCAGCCCAAACACTGCCCCTCATCTGGCTCATCCTTGTTTATTCTCGAAGTTTCAGTACGTTGCCTGCTCTGCTGAGGCTTCCTGTATCTTTGTCTCAGCTGGATGATGTTCAAGCTCCCAGGGCAACCCCTAGCCTCTTGCTACTCAGAGAGGGTCCTAAGACCAGCAGCAGAGGGATCAGCTGAGAGCTTGTTAGACATGCAGAAACCCAGGGCCTACCCCAGCCTGTAGAATCAGAATCAGCATTTTAACAAGGCCCCTGCATGGGGATGTATGTTAGAGTTGGAGACACACTGCTCTAGCCTGTTTCCTATGGTATCGCCTTGTCATTTCTGATGCCCAACCCTGCTCAGAGTTCTTGAGGGTCAGGATTCCACCTCACCCTATGCCTGTACACACACCGGTGTTTGACTTAGAGTCAGCACTTGACTATACAGTGCTTACCAAGTGCATGGATGGTTTTCCTTTTTGGAAAAGGAAACAGAGGCTCCCAGAAGTGACACAGTCAGCAAGGGGCACAGATGGGATTCAAACCTGGATCTGTCTGACCTTAAAGCTTTTTCCATTGCTGTGTGCTGCAGCAAGATGCTAGCCAGAATCTGAGCTCAAAGGTTTCACAAAACCTTTGAGTTGTGTCTGTGGTTTTTAAAATCCAAGTTACTTTCCCTAGCTGGGTGGCCTGAGCAGTGAGGGTCCTGCTCCTTAGGGAGCTTTGCTCTTGGCTGAAGACTGTGGAGAGAAAACAACATTTGCAACTGCCTCCTGGGCTCATTATGGGTTTTAGCAGTGATTGCATTGGATGCCCTGCATGTTAGGGCATCACGTGGTCTCCTGACACCTATACGTTTCCAGACCTGAGAAGAGCAGGAGCTTACAGGAGGAGGGCTATCTCCACATGGCCACCCCCAGGGTGTCAGGTGGGCCCGCGGTGCTAGCGGCTCACTCACAGGAATGTAGCTGGCGTTGATGTAGTCAGAGCACGGCTCATCATCTACGCTGGACAGCTTTACTCGAGAGGCGTCATCTGGAAGGGAGTTGGTTGAGGGAGTTTTGACACTGAGTCTCGGGTGTTCTTCCTACAGTTTCTTGGATGCTTGGTATTTGACCTGCATCAGCTCTGACCCCACAATGGTCCCACAGGAGAGGTATATTCTCATCTCCATTTTACAGATGAGGCTCAGACAGGATAACTAAGTCACCCCAAGTTGCATAGGTGGCCCATAAACACAGACAAACAAACAAGACAAATGTTCTTTGAAGCTCCCTCTGTGTTTCTGCCTTCGTAACACTGACATTTGTCTGATGCAGGGGTCAGCAACTCCTCACTGCTGGCATGAATTTAATCCAGAAAAACTACCTTCTATTGCTCACCTAATAGGGTAAGGCTAATAAACGAATATATAATAATTGCTAACTAGAGACTTAAATAAACCCAGGCTGGTCCTTGCTGTTAACCCTATTACTGTGCTCAGGCCTCCTAGGAGAAGCAGTAGGACCACACAGTGAAATGTCAACGGCAGAAGAGGCCTCTCATCACCAGAATTTAAACTGGTTGTCACTCCTCTGGAGGGAAGTGCAATAACATACAAGTCATTCTTTTTTAAAGATACTCAGAGCCTCAGATCTTCCATATCCAGCTATACCATATACTTTAGCCCAATTTTATTCCCAGAAAAGAGAAGAAATGGCTAAAAGACTATTACAAATTTCAACACAAAACTCACAGGGCAATATATTGTTGTATCGATTTTTCCCTCTGTTCTCCGGCAAGAGTGCAATGTCACATGATTGGTTTCGACCCACATCTTTTAAGTCCTACGAGGTCAAAAAAGTTTGCAAGTGGAGGATATGAAACAGAGTACAGCAAATCATACAGTCCTTGAGAGACACAGTAATGTAAGAATATGTTACACTAGCTGTTTATGGACTGCCTTGTGCATTAGCGCTGACCCCCACGACACCCTGCAGAAGGTATTCTAACCTCCAGTTTGCAGAGGACGCTCAGACAGGATACCTAACTTGCCCCAGGTCACAGGGGGAAAAGCTGGGCACTTTTCACAAAACCACGCTGTCTCTTAGTCAAGCAAAAGACCAGGTTAAATAACTGACAGCATCAGGCTTGCACCTGAGCTTTGCTCTTTCTCCCCTAGCACTTGATCTAGGTAGTACGTTCTTTGCTGTGCTATTCTGGAGATTGAACTGGCCTCCGAAACTAGGGCATATATCGTCCAGGGTATTGATTCAGGTGTAAAAGAGTTTATGGCTGAGATCCTAAGCATCACCCTAACTCCTGAGCCCAGTCAATATGTGAATCCACAGGGAAGGCTGGGAGGGAGATTCTAAGGACCAGCGGTGCTGAGGGAATCATCATGGAGTCCAAGATGTACCTCATATTCCTTGGACAGAAGGTAGTTGGAGTCAGCCTGCAGCTTCATGAAGTGCCCTTCAAACTGATTTACTTTTATGGGGCTAGAGTAAAAAATATAATAGGAAGAAAAGAGTTACTGAAGAAAAGAGAAAATGTTATGGCCAGCTTAAGTTGTATTTTCAAAAGCAGGTAATATAGTAATTAATGAGTTCTCTCTCTTACCAAGAAGTCTTCCGGTTACTGCGAAGAGAAGCCAAAAGAAAAAGGAAGACCTTGTTACAGCACCTGTCACATATTACCGTCAGCTCATCTTACAATAAATTATGTGAAGGAAAAAGTGGTGGCTCACCCTTTTTGGCCCAGGTTCAAGTGGACAGATAACGGTCGATCCCGGCGAATACTCAGGCGGGCAGAGGGCCTTTCTTGGCCGTGGCTGAAACAAAGGGGAGGATTTACACTCTGATGATGAGACTTGATGTAACTAAATTTTTCCATTTATGGTAAGGCTGTGTGTGTTTGTGCGGATAGGGATTTTTCAGCATCATTTAGATTTACACTCAGCTAACCTCTCTTTGAGGGAGGGAAGAGGGAGGAAGAACCTAAAGAAGAAATAGCTTTTTTTCCCACTCAGAAACGGATTTCTGCAATAGCTGAAGATGTGTCTTCTGATTTTTGGCTACAGGTCATCATCACTTCCCACACTCTCAATAAAACTTTCCTTAAAAGAAAAAACAGTAAACCTCAGATGCAAGAAATGACTGTGCACCAGATAAAACAAATTCCCTAGGAGAAGAGGGCCTGGCACAGGCCATAGGCTATTTGGTTCTTTCTGGTCCATTCTTAAATTAGCATGCATTATAAGTCACAAAATGTTGATGTCAACCACACTTTTCAGCGAATTTCAGAAAAGCACTTGGGCAAATGATTTACAGACATCTGTCTTTATGAGGAGACCGAATCACACAAAAACTTTTGTTTTTTTCTCCCTGTCCAAAAGGAGTTATTTCACATTCACATGAAGCTGCAGCCGGCCCCTCAGTCATTTGATTAGGGCAAAACTTGTCAGTCGTATGTAGAGAGACTGAAAAAAAATGAATCATGGTTTTAGGGTTTCACTTCTGTGTTTTTCTTGAGAAACAAAAGGTATTTAATCTGGTGAAATTATTTTCCGTTCTTGCTTTTTGGGCTAAAAGGCATTGCCAGGTGTATCTTTAAAGCTGTGGGCCCAGTCACCAAAGGGATCCTTGTACTCACCTCACTTTCTGTCTGCAGATGAACAAGGCAGCCACGGCCACCAGCATGCCGATTAAGAACAGACCAGCACTCACTCCTTCAATTACTCCAAACAAAGGCTCTATAAGAGTCCAGATAGAAATAACAGACCCAGGTAGGGAAATCTTTGCTAAAGGATCAAGAGGAGATCTACCGCAACCCTGTCTTCCAGGAAGCTTATTACAGAAGAATTCACACAGTGCCCACACGGAGGCATTTACTATCTAAAGGCCAAGAGTATGCAGCCCGGAAGACGGAATGCCGGCTACTACCCTGTAATGCTAGCTTGGTCATTATAGTTCTGAAGTTAATAGTGTTCAGCTTAGAGAAGAATTTTGGACTCATTTGTGGTTGCATGTAAAGCTTAGGGCACTTGAGATAAAGGCCGGCAGTTTGCCACCAAGATACAAATGCTGTCTCGCTTGTATGAAACAAGACGGGGCATCGGGACTCTAGGAAATTCAGTGAATTTCTGAGTTATTTTAACAAAACCTCCTTTTTATTATCTGGTGTGATACTGCCACTGGGAGTTTGTGAATAGGTAAGAGTAGCTCATTTTAAAAATAGCTCTATTGAAATATAATTCACATATCCTGTAATACACCAATTTAAATAGTTTAATTCAGTGATTTTTAGCATGGTCACAGAGTTTTGCAAACAACACTACATTTAATTTTGTAACCTTTTCATCACCCTTGGAAGAAACCCCATACTTTCTCCCAGTCTTTCTCCATTCTTACCTGCCTCCAGCCCCTGGCAATCACTAATGTACTTCCTGTCTTCACAGATTTGCTTATTTTTGACATTTCATATAAATTGAATCATAAATATGTGAGCTTTGTGATTGGCTTCTTTCACTCGGCATAATGTTTTCAAGGTTCGTCCATGGTGTAGTGTGTATTTCATTCCGTATTTCATTCCCTTATATGTCTGAATAATAGTCCATCATATGGATAGATCGCATTTTGTTTATCCACTGACAGGCATTTGAGTTATCTCTATTTTTGGTTATTATGAATAATGCTGCTATAAACATCTGTGAACAAGTTTTTGTGTGGATATACATACATTTTCATTTCTCTTGGTTTTATAATTAGGAGTGGAATTGCTGAGTTAGATGGTTCACTATAGGCTTGACATTTTGAGGAACTGCAAAACCATTTTTCAAAGCAGCTACACCATTTCACATTCTCACAAGCAATGCATGGAGGTTCCAGTTTCTCCACATCCTTGCTAACACTTGTTATTATCTTTTTGATTATAGCCATTCCAGTGGGTGTAAAGTGGTGCCCTGTTGCACTTTTGATTTGCATTTCCCTGAGGAATAATGGTTTGAGCTTTTTTCATGTGCCCAGTGGACACGTGTATATTTTCTTTGGCAAAATGCGTATTCATACCCTTTGTTTTTGTCTTTTTATTACTAAGTTGTAAGGTAAGAGGTCTTTACATATACTGGATGCTAGACTCTTAGCAGATATGAGATTTTCAAATAGTTTCTCCTTATCTCAAGTTTTTAATTTTGATTAAGTCCCATTTATCTATTTTTTTTCTTTTGCTGGCTTGTAATTTTCATGTCCTATCTAGGAAACCATTTCCTAACCCAAGGTCACAAAGATTTACTACTGTGTTTTCTTTTAAAAGTTCTATTGTTTGAGATCTTACATTTAGGTCTGTGGAGTAATCCATTTTTGGAGTTTCATTTTAAGCCCTTGGGTTTGCTTATTCAATGTCACTTTATAAGACTCATCAAATCAACACAATCATTTCCTTTTAATGTGGTTAATATTCTTTTTTGAATGTAAGTTTAGTATCTTCCTTTATTGGGCTACGTATAATTTTTGTTGCATAACAGTATTTCGAAAAGGAAAGAACTGTATTTACAAAACCCTTCCTTAACATTGAATTATAAACAAACATCTAAAACCTTCTAACTGTGTTCTGATCCCTTTTTGGTTTGGGAAGTGGGAGATTATCCCTATATTTGGTATAAATAGATGGGAGTGTTAGTGAGGCTGAGTCATCTTTCATCATGCAGCATGAAAAACTTTTAGCTATGAAGAACTTTCTGAGAACAAGCATTGTAGAACACTGGCTACAGGGAAAGGTTCAGGCAGATAATTGTATCAAGGAACCATGTACTGAAAAACAATGATATCTGCAGTATGATGGAAATATTCCAAGGCAGTATATTGCAGAGGTTAAGGGCTCAGGCAGAAAGTGCCAGAATACCAGCTCTACTACTTTGGGCAAGTTACTTAACCTCTTGGTGTTCCAGGTCCTCACCTTTAAAATGTGGATGATAATAATATCTACCTCGAAAGGTTGTAGTGAGGATTGGATACATTATTCTATGTACAATGCTTCTCTGTATGCCCTCAGAGAAGGTGGCAGTAAATATTAGTTATTATTATTACTCAGGCTTTGTTTTTAAAATGCCAGAGAAGTTTCATAAATTTATGCAAAGTCTATTAAAATTATTTATAGTGTAAAAGTATCAAATAATAAGCAAAGGCAAAAGAATTACCTATAATCCCACTACTTAGAGACTTTCAGTGTTAATATTTTGGTGCTTTTTCTTCTAGTCTTTTTTTCCCATGCATTTCTACGTATATGCATGTATACATTCCTATGTAAACTGAAAGCCTTTTGTACTTATGTTTTAGCCTGTGCAGACTCTTGATTTGAATGTTTTTTACCCACTACTTTTTAAAAAATTGATTTTTAATATATAAAAAAAATCTGGTACTTCTCCCTTCTTTTTGAGATTAATCCCCTTTCAATCCATTCTTCTACAAAAGTTGTGCAATTCCTCTAATCCATATAAATCCATGACCACATAAAGATTAAATTACAAGTGAAAATAAATGTTCCCCCCACCACCTGCCAAGTCACTGATCTCCCCAGTAGAGGCCCTTGTGAGTGACATGGCAGTTGGCAGACTATGTGGGTAGATGGAAAAGTTAGGCTTACCTGACTCAGTGGTGATAGGCAAAGAGAAAAATGTGTCTGAATAGAGTGGCTTTGTGAATTCCTTCAGGTCCTCATCAAACAGCTGTGTAAAAGCCCGAATGCTGATTCTGAAAAGCAACCAATTTATTTGAGTGCACGTTAGTGGCTGAGCACTATAGGGCTCACTAGAAAATGTGTTCAAGGAGAAACAGGGTGGGCACCTGGTCAATATGTATGCAGGACAGGGTACTAACTGTGGAATCAGATAGACCTGGGTTCATGCATTCATTCTTTCATCACTCAAATATTTATTGAGCCCCTTCTATGTACTGGTCCCTCTTCTAGGAGCTGGGGATACTGCAAGGAACAGAATAGCCCAGAGGTTACACTTCTAGTGTAAGAAATCAGATGACATAAACCCAGAGTTAATGTGCCAGATGATGATGTGTACTACGGAAAAGAAAAGATCAGAATAAGGGAGATGGAAGCAATGAGGACGGGCATGAAAACTGCTTTATTCAGTGTGGTCAATGCAGGTCTCCTTGATAAGACGACATTTGCACAGAAATATGAGGAAAGTGAGGGACAGAGACACGTCTGCATTCCAAGCACAGGGAAGTACAGTGCAAAAGGCACTGAGAGGAGGGACCAGATAGGGCCTAACCTGAAGAGGAGAAGAGAAAAATCAAGGATGGCTCTAAGATTTGAGCTCAGGTCATTTGAGAGAACAGTGGCATCACTGGTAGAAATGGGAAGCTAGACTAGGGGGAGAGGATGAGCTTTGCTTGGGCTGTATGGGATCTAGAGTAACAGCAAGACACTGATTTGGACTCTGCAGTAGACATCTGGAGTTATCCCAGTCAACCTGGGCAGGAGAGCTGCTGGGGTGGCTGTCCAGGTGTCCATGTGGGATGGTGCCTGGAGATCAATGGGCCCTACATTCTATAAGCAAGCAAGATGAAGCTACTTAAACAGTTGTAACCTCAGCCCTGATGAAAAGCCTATTGTCCCATCATAGGACCTAAGTCTCATATTCTCTGGGTGAGTCAGGCTTAGTCTGGAGGGCTGCATTCAGTTTCTGGTGGCATCTTAGAAAACATTAGAGATCATTTGAAGTGACCGACCAGGATAGTGACAGAGAAGACTCAGAGGATCATGATGGTTGATTCTAGATTTAAGAAGTCTGCCAAGTAGAAGAGGAAACAGACATCGTTATTTTTCTCCTTGCAGGTAGAACGAACTCAGTAGGCTGAAGTCACAGGGAGGTGTAGTTTACGAACACAGTCACTTTCTAACATCTAGAGTAGGAGCTACTGCATGGGAGGTGAGCTCCCAGTCATTGAGGGGGGTTAAGCAGAGGCTGGAGGAGAACCAGATTTCAGGGAAGCTATAGGAGGGCATTACTGTACTAAGTTAAAGACTGGCTTGGGCCACCTCTTGAGTTCTTTCTATTTTAAAGATTCTTAGACTGTAGGTTTACTGATAGAGTAACAGGCTAGGTTTGTACGGGGAAACTTTTTTAGTGTTAATTTAAATCCTATGAAAGTGAATGGAAGTCTCCTTTTTCCTTTATTAAAAAAAATATATGCTGGCAAAACTGGACAGCTACATGTAGGAGAATGAAACTGGACCATTGTCTAACCCCATATACAAAGGTAAACTCAAAATGGATCAAAGACCTGAATGTAAGTCACGAAACCATTAAACTCTTGGAAAAAAACATAGGCAAAAACCTCTTAGACATAAACATGAGTGATCTCTTCTTGAACATATCTCCCCGGGCAAGGAAAACAACAGCAAAAATGAGCAAGTGGGACTACATTAAGCTGAAAAGCTTCTGTACAGCGAAAGACACCATCAATAGAACAAAAAGGAACCCTACAGTATGGGAGAATATATTTGAAAATGACAGATCTGATAAAGGCTTGACGTCCAGAATATATAAAGAGCTCACACGCCTCAACAAACAAAAAACAAATAACCCAATTAAAAAATGGGCAGAGGAACTGAACAGACAGTTCTCCAAAAAAGAAATACAGATGGCCAAGAGACACATGAAAAGATGCTCCACATCGCTAATTATCAGAGAAATGCAAATTAAAACTACAATGAGGTATCACCTCACACCAGTAAGGATAGCTGCCATCCAAAAGACAAACAACAACAAATGTTGGCGAGGCTGTGGAGAAAGGGGAACCCTCCTACACTGCTGGTGGGAATGTAAATTAGTTCAACCATTGTGGAAAGCAGTATGGAGGTGCATCAAAATGCTCAAAACAGACCTACCATTTGACCCAGGAATTCCACTCCTAGGAATTTACCCTAAGAACGCAGCAATCAAGTTTGAGAAAGACAGATGCACTCCTATGTTTATCGCAGCACTATTTACAATAGCCAAGAATTGGAAGCAACCTAAATGTCCNGAGGAAATCATGACCAAGTATAGGCTAGACTTAACATTAGAGGGTAAACAGGAACCCTGCCCTTAAAACTCTTCCCCAAAATGGACAGCACAACCACATTTCCTGGCACTTAGTACCCGTAGGGATCCTGTCTTTTCCTGTCTTCCTGTTCTTGTCTCCCCTGCTATGCCTTTGCATACACCTACTCCCATGCGAAACTGGACTACTGGCTCTTCTCTATCAATCTGTGTATTTTGGCCACTGCACTTTGACTCCCAATGTTCCCTCTACCTTGAATCTCCTCCTGTCCTTATCTCCGTATTTTCAAATCCTTCCCTACTTTTTAAGGCTTTGGTAAAATGACACCTCTTTCAAGAAGCTTTTTGAACTTTAACAGAATTTATTTACCCTTTAGGTCCTTCAATATTTCTGCTTATTTTTAATAGACATGTCTTTTATGTCCACATATGAATAAAATTATTTTAATGAACATATACATGATAGTAATTATTTCAACTTTAACTGTGTTCAGAACCAAAATTCCATGCACAAAGTTAGAGATCATGTGGTTCAATTTCTTTCATTTGAGGAAAATGAGGCCGAGAGAAGCTAACGTACCCGATCATGGTCACATTGTTATTCTATTTAGAATAGAAACAAAACCAGATCAGCACTTTTCTACCTTCCAAACTGCCCCTCACCTTCATGATCTGTCTTTCTCTTTCCATATGGAAGAATGCTAATTATACCCCCAGATAATAGCAACCCAGTGACAAATGGGAACAAATTACATTCACTGATACAAAAACTTACAAACTGCTAACACTAGCATTTCTCATTTCTCTTCAATCCTAATTTTTCTTTTTCCATGTTCTTTCCTGTCTACCTATTCTCTCTGGGAAAGATGCCTGACAGCACTGAGGGTCACAGGGGTGAATTTATCTTGAGACAAGCAGAATTTTGACTGCATGGAGCCAGGGTTCAGTTGCCACCAACCCAGGAGGCCACTTATGTGGTTCTCCCGAGTGCTTTGAAAGGCTATGTCTCCTCTTATCAAGCATTATCTGCCTGGCATGCTTTTTACAGAACTGAACCAAATGTGGAGAGATATAGGAAGCTGTGTTCTAGAAAACAAACAGTTTGGCATAAGCTGAATCAGGTATAATAAGAATGTGAAACTTCATAGAGCTTCTTGGTTCCTTCCTTAATTTTTTCACAAACATTTAGTGGGCGCCTCTTTTGTGCCAGGTGCTTGCAATGTCATGTCTGTCTCCCCTGTTAACTGTGAGCTCTTGTAGTCTAGTGAAGAGGGTAGGTAATTAAGCAAAGGGGTAAAAGCCACTGGTAAATGGAGGATTCGAGGCATGTAGGGACAGGGTGCTGTGGAAATGGAGCTGAGAGTCCCAATGCCCAGCCATCGGATGACAGGCATGGCATGGAGCTCACTGAGGGATGAGTCAGCTCTTGGAGTGTACAAAGGAACTTACCAGCCAGAGAGGAGAGTGGAGGGCATCCCAGATAGAGTGGAAAGCACGTGCAAGGCTACGAGGTCTCAGAGTCCTGTCACATTCCAGGGAGCTCTGAGGAGAGTGGTGTAGCGAAAGGGCAGGGTTTACTTGGGGCAAATGGTGGAAGACAAAGCTGGAGGGGCAGGCAGGAGGGAGAGGGTGAGGGCTTTGTGTGTCCCATTCTGGAATCTTCACTTGCTCCTGGAAGTGAAAGGGAGGGAACCACTGGAGGACCTTCATCTGGAAGGGACAGGACATGGTTTGATCATCACCTGCATTACTCCTCAGAGCAGTCCTGTGATGTTTCAAAGATGAGGAAAGTATGGATCAGAGACCAGAAATGCTGTCTATGAGGCAGCGCTGGATCTCAGATGCGGGGCTCTCCCGAGGACCTTGGCAGCTGGGTGGGCAGAACTTGTGTGCCATGAGATGGGTGGCAGAGAGCAAACAAGCAAGCCAAACAGTCCCCACTTCCCAACTCATAAAGAGAAAGGAGCCCTCGGGAAGTTTTTGCTCACTTTTCCTTGTTGTCCTTTTTCTGTTAGGAACTGAAGGGTTCTAGTCTTCTGATTTCTGCTCTGAGATCTCTCAGCATCAGGCAGACCCATACGGCCCCTTCCTGAAGTAAACATCACTAATAAGTTTGTGTGTGTTTATTCTAGAGGTACCCCTTGGCCAGGGTAGCAAGAGCATTTCTGTGAGTCCTGGACAGGGGTGGCTATGCAGGGCTCCTGTGCAAAGTAACTCCTCTGTTTTAGGAAAATCATCAGGCTGCCTTTGCTGATGCGAGAGAGGGGCTGACACAGCTCTCCGGCGTGATGCCATGGCACTGTCTCCTTTTGGAGCTAGTGGAAAAGTGTCTGCTGAGACTCAAAATATGTAAGAACCAACAAGAACCAGGCACTGCCCAGCCAGATTGGACAACAACCTGCACAGAACCTGAATGGCTCCGACAGTGGCTAGGTATCAGCTCTGCCAACTCATAACCAAGACAGCAGTCTGGTTCTCCACCTCCTGAGGACCTGGTTTAGAAGGTTGAGTATGTCTGCTTAACCTGCTGTAGGGAGCACAGCGCAACCCAGGGGCAGCACCGGTTCCTCTAGCTGGAAGGGCCTGCTGGCTGGAGCAGGGCCTCCAGGGCCAAGCCGGAAAGCTGCTCCTTTTCATCTGCCAGCTTAGCGGGAGGAATGGGTGCTCGCACTCATGCTGGGCCCTCCCCTCCAAGAGTTCTGTCTGGACCAATGAGCACATCCATCTTTTTATGCCTTAGAAGGTAAATAAATAAGTACAATCCCAGTCCTAACTAAAAGTGGAAGTTAAAACTGCCTATTTCTTGGGTTTCCCTCAACTCAACCTTTCTATTTGGACATTTTCACAATCATGAACATGGTAAATAAATTGTTTGATTCATACTAAAGATTTAGGAGAAAGAACAATCTATTAAGAGTCCTCGATTCTTCACATAATGAAGTGGAACTTTTGCACAAGGCTGAAGGCCTTTACACATTTCCTGTGCATGGAGGCAGGAACGTGACTTTTATAAATGACCCCATAAAATGTAGAGCACTCCTGTAAATGCTGGTTATTAATCTGCAGGAGCTCATGTGCATCAGATACTCAGAGAGCTGAGTGCCCCGTAATGTAGTGTGTCTCCTGCTAGCAGAATGAGGGAAGCACATCTAACCTGTAGGTGGTGCGTGGCTTCAGTGGTCCGTCACAGAATTTTTGTTGCTCGGGATCACATTTTCCTCCTAGGCTCTCCATCTCTGCCCCAAGCTTAATATTAAAACTCTTGGAGTTGCTGTCAGGACTTTCAGCACACCTGCTGGCAAAGTAATCGGTCTGATACACTCGGATGGAGGCATTGTGCCTGTATTCCAGGTAGGAGGGCAGAGGGTGCTGTTGCTCTGGCTTCAGCTCATCACTGCCTGCAGGGAGAAAACCTGTAGGTAAGAACTGCCTTCTGGTGACTTCAGTGATTTCTAACTAGGTTTACAAGTCTACCTCCCCACCCACAATCTCTGGTCATATGCAGAGCACAGAGCCTGTGATCCTGAAGGATGTGGTGAAATTCTCCCAATACAATTAATTTCAGTTCACTTCGTCTAAAATAAATACAAATTTAAAGTAAATAAAATGTGTATATACAAAATTGTATAAATGCATGCACCCATCATTCCTCTAGGAAATAAAATGTGTATGCATGAGGGTAGCTGACTGCAGCAGAAGATAATGGGCTATATAACTCCAGAGAGTCCGACATTCCCAATAGTGAGAGTCAACCCACTCAATTAGCTTTCCACCTTGCCAATAGCCATTGTAGCTGAGCTAATAAGGAAATCCCCGTGACCTAGGAAGTAGGGAAAAGATAAATCAACTCTGAAGCCAGAGCGGTTGCCCCACAGGCATGTTCCACGTGCCACACCCGGTCTGACAATTGCTCCGTGTAAGGCTCTGTGTTATCTTGAGCACAGTTTAATCCTGGCTGGAATTTGTCCCCTTGTGCAGAACACTTCCCAGAACTCTTACCCTGTCCACCCAGCCTGCTGTGTATTTTGGCACTGGAAACCGTTTTGATGTTGTCTGGAGGAAAGCTTAATTAGGAAGATAAATATTATAGAGATTGGATACCATTTACAACAAACCTCAAGGAGTGGTTCTGTGGGGGTTCATCACATCCTGGATTCTTGCTTAATAAAATGTGCTCAAAACAAGTGGGTCTTGGAAATATTATCTTGTTGGAATTAGTTGAAAAGAAATGTTACCCTTAGGTTGAATGTATATGCTATAAATGACATTTATGTGAGACTGACTGTTACTTAGATCACTGGGGAGCACAATCCGTCTCCAAGGACAGCAGTACTTGAGATGTCTGGCTGGAGAGCAAAAGGATGTGACCTCTTTTTGGCCATAGTCTTACATTTATGCAGTAAAACATGATCTTCATTGCAGTCTACTTAAATTTAAAGTCTCTCCAAGTTCACCAGTTTTTCTCCGATTATGAGATGTAAATTAATCTGGGATGCATACCAGTGACCCTTGAAATTATTTAGTCAATTATGCAAGGCCAACTTTAGTACAATTAAATCAAATGTCAAAGCACACTGACTATTAAATACCCAGTGAGGTTAAAATACTATTTAGCTTAGGAATTGCTCCAGCATTTGTCAGGCTCAGTTTCCCAGTGCCCACAAATGGGTTAAGCTAGTCAGAGATGCTTAAAAACCTCATGTGCAGCACCTTAAACAATTTTAAAATGTAAGACCTGTAAAATATATTAACGCCACTACAGACATAAACATCTATTTGGGGGAAGTATTGCATAAGACCTCGTGGCAAATAGAACTCTCCTGCTGGAGGTTTGGCAAATGCTGATATATAAGCTCCAAAGCTCATCCTCAGTGGTTGTGGGGCATGGTGTTATAACTATTACCTTGTGGTTCACAGGAATCAGCTAGACCTTGAGTGACTTAGCAGACCACAAAATGAAATACACTTTTGAAAATTCAGTGTGCACAGGAGGAATTTTTCTCATGACCATCTTCTCCCTCTTTGAAGTTCTTGAGTATTTTTGTGAACTGAAGGGTGGTTTGGAAGTGTGTGATCACTGAAGTTTTTGAGACAGGGAAGGGGAAGAGAACTGAAGGCATACTGATGCTTAATGGCAGAACAAAAGAGTAGCAAACAGTGTTGAATAAGTAGTGAGGAAGACTGAGTGAGTCTATATGTGCTGTGCACTTCCAGTGGTGCCTGGAACATAGTAAGGGCTCAATAAATGGTGGCTACTTATATTCTTGGTGTGCTTGCTTTTATTATTATCCACCTGTTTAATAATTAAACCCAGTTTAATTTAGTCCTGAAAGAGCCACTAAACAGCTTTTTGTTACATCTTCCTACATCCAGCAGGGAGAGAGCAGAATGATATAAAAACTATGTTTTCTGCTCTTTAGAACTTGCCACAGGAAGAGCCTCCACGGTGGCCTTTGGGCCGTAGCAATCCCGTGTCTCCCAGCACACGATTCATGACCACTTACCGTCCGCCTCTCTCACTACCACTGTGAAGTATTTCACAGCTCCGTTGGTATCGCTGAACCAGCTGCAGTTGAAGGTAAAGTTGATAGAAGATTTGCCAATTAGCACATCCTTTTTATTCACTCGAATATGTGGAGGTGGAGGAGGGGGGCCTGCGAGAACGGTGGAGAAGGAAGCAAGAGGGGTCACAACGCTGCTTCTGCGTACAAACAAGTCAGTGAAATATGGGTCTCCACTCACCTATGTCAGACTGTGTGTGTGTTTAAAGCTTGTTATCAAGAAAACCTCCTCCTCTTCTGAAAGGAAGCAGGCAGAGGAATTGATCTGCCCGTGGCACAGTAAACAGAATGAAAGAGGCAGCTCCTCAGCAGGATTTCCTGAAGTTGTAGCATCAAACTGCTTAAAAGCTCCATTATACCTCTAACTACATCAGGCAAAGTGGTGCATTTAAATACTAACTCATTCAGGTACTTTAAGATCATTTAACTTGTTTGCTGCCAGGATGTTTCCATTTCCTGGAGCCTTTTAGGTCCTCTTCTCCAAGTTGTAAGAAGACTCGCTAATGTGGAAGTGAACTGTGTGCAAGGGACTAGTAGTGACGGATGCAGAGAAAGGTGCTCCCTCGGCCCACAGCCCCAGGGACACTTACGGTCTATCATTGTGATCGTGCTGTCTTCAACCACCTCACTGGTCATGCCAGCTGACTGCACCTTGATGGAAACCAGATACCTCTTATGGGGCACGAGCATCATGATACTGAACACAGATTTTTCTTTCTCCAGCTTTCTGGAAAATTCAACTTCTTGAGTATCCATTTTCCGGCATTCAATGCTATACCCATCAAAGTCGGAATCAGGAGGGCTCCATGAACAGGCAATGGCCGTGGAGTTCTGAGGGCGGCAGTGCAGGTTTTGTATCTTGTCTGGCTCTAAAGGAGGGAGAGGAAGGGACGCTTTTCAGAACTCTGTGAGATCCACTCTTTTCAGCAACTTTGGGCCCAGCTAGCTCCGAGATGTAAACAAAGAATTTCCAAACCTTATTTGAAATGTTTTTCAAGGAAAAAATTCTCATGGATCTCCAACAAAATGGCTGCCTGCCAGACCCCGTTTTGAGAAACATTAAAAATTAAAATGTTGTCCCTTTAATCTAAAATATCAGCTAAGTCACAACAGGTTACATGAGGATGACTTAGAGGATGAAGCTTTTTCAAGATAAGGGAATTGGCCTTTGAAGCAAGTAATAATTGTGTGTTTTCAAGCATTTAACTGCTTGTTAATCTTTGACTTCCTTCAAACAAGTCACAGATCCCTTCTCTTTTGATTCATAATTCTGACGATTTGTACAAAGAGTAATATGGAAATTTGCTTCAGCCTCTTCCTTCAATTCCTTTTCTTTCCTCCTTTTCACCTCTAAATCCCACCTGTCTTCTGAGAGCTCAGGTCAGGTCCCTCTTCACTAACACATGAATACCTACTATGTGCAAGGTGCTCTTCCAGGAACTATGAACAATACAGAAGTGGCTAAGACATTAGGCCCAACCTCTGGGAAGGGAGATGGGTCATAATGGCCATAATACAAAGTAGAAAGGAGAATGTGCCAGAAGAAATGGGGGAAGCAGGTGCTGTGTGGAGGGCCAAACTCCTGCTGTTGTGCTGGTGGGCAGGAGTTAGCAAAGGCTTTCCTCAGAGATACCGCGTGGAAATACTGGCAAAGGGGCATTTTAGGCAGAGGAAACCATGAACTCAGGCTGCAAGGGTGGGGCTGGGAGGAGTGGGAAGGCGGAGGGTGCAGCTCTTCATCATGGCTGGAGCGTGTTTGTGAGAAATGGAGTACTGGAATAATGTTACATGAGAATATAAACTTCTGTTTTGTTTCATCCTCTGTTATTTTGGAATTTTTGTTACCCACAGCCAAACCCAGTCCTAACTAATGCAATCCTCAAATTCTATCAGCCATTTGTCATAAAATACATGGAGTCCCTCTTCATGCTGGCTGCATGCACCATTTAGTAAATACCTCTCTTAATTCTAGCATCCACGACTAAGTACAATTCTTCAGATGCGATATGACCAACACAGTCTCTACTGAGCTCTTAAACTCAACACCTCTGATTGGATTACACAGCCCAGAATTAGCCACCGAACACTCATCCTGAGCTTTCTATAAATTAAAAGGTGTAGTTTTTCCCATATTTCTCTTGACACACAATTATTGAACCCAAACTGTTCTTTAGATGAAATAATGGTGCACAAATTTTAATTGTTCTAACATTCATGTTTGTTGAATAAATGAAACAACTACTACTCAAATTTCCAATTTTCAACTACCTGTTTTCTCAATAGCCAATAACTAATCTGATTTCAGAAGCTATATATGTGCTGGTATTATTGAAAAATAAATATTTGGATTGAGGTTCCTATACCATAAATCTTTGTTTCTTTGAGATTTGTTGCATCATCCCAAAATGCCTTTGGGAAGAAAATGGTATATATTTATTTCATTGTTGAAGTATTTTTATCTTTAGGATTTACAGCACTATGTCCTAACTGATCCCCCTCTGCTTCTAGCTTGCTCCTTGTGATCTACTTTCTACACTACTGAGAATGACTTCCTAAAGCGCAAAAATCCGATTACCATGTCTGGGCCAAAAATCCTTCTGTGGCTCTACCTGATTGAAGATAAAGTTCAAAGTCATTGCCATGGCTCACAAGACATTTTATAGCCTGATTACCCTAATCCTCACTTTCTGCACTCTGCAAAACAAACTCCTTTCTGTTCCTCTCTCTCACCTAGTCTTGGAATATTTTATTCACTCTACCTGGGATATCCCCCACTCCTTTCCCCATCTCCAGCTGGTAAGTCTTGCTCTTTACTTAGACTTGCCCTACAGATGTTTCTTCTTCCAGGAAACTCCTGTGCATAGGGTCAGATGCCCCCACCATGTGTTTCTACTATAGCAAATATTTCCTTCATCACATCCAAAATGTAATTGCTTTTTTAATGATTTTACCTCCCACTCAATTGTAAGCTTCATATGGGCAGAGATTATTTCTTTATGGTCTGTTGTTGTCAATGTTGAATAAATGAATAAGTCTGCATAGCCTTTGGTCCAAATTCAAATCTAACTAATCCAGGTCAATTTAAGCCAAGCCTCCTCAGAGTAAGATGTTGCAACACATATCTCCCCCTCCCTCCATCTGAGAACCAAGAGTAGCAAAACATGTCATACTTGTCCTCACGGATCCAAAAACTGGTTTGCTGTATGTTTTCCAGGAATCACCGCTGACTGTCTTGACACTGAATTGATAGGACCTCCCTGGACGAAGACCATACACGATACGTCCTTCTGATTTTCTGTTGCTGTAGGGATTGAAGACTGTGATAGCATCCCTGGGGAACCAGTGCAGCTCAAAGTCATCATAGTCTGTCCAGTCCGGAGGCCCCTTCCAGGTGATGGCCAAGGACGTGTTTGCGACGTCAGCAAATGACATGAGACTGGGAGGATTTGGGGCTGTAGCAGGAAAAAGTGAAAAATCATGTAATCACTCCTGTGCAATAGCACAGACAAATAAGATAGCTGAGCAACACCAGACTGACTTTTAATGAACTTTGTATGAAGAGATAATGTGATAATAATAGGAGTTCCCATTTATAGTGTTTACTATGTGTAAGGCAGTGTCTTCAAATATTTTATGTACATTTTCTTTTATTTTCATAACCAGAGCTTCCTTACCAGCATGCTGTGGAGCATAAGTGTGACCTGGATGGGTTACAAGTGTGCAAAGGTATTGATTCCATCTGATTTTGGGGTCTGAGCACTAGAGACTACAGACAATAATGTCCAGTTGCAGATAGCCTTGTTCACTGATCCCCGGGTGGCATACAATATTGATGTTATCTGTGTGTGCCCAAACAACTAAAAAATTTAGAAAGCACTGCTCTTAGAACATAATGACACCATACATGATTATCCCCATTTTACAGATAAGACAACTGAGGCTTAGAGATGCTCAATGACCTGCCCACCTTCACATAGGTAAGTAGCAGTGCTAAGCTAAGTAAGCACCTAGATCTTTTTCCTAAATCTTTTATGGTGCAGTGGCTAAAGTCTGTTTCCTGTATCTCCACGGTATCACAATGCTTTCCCAAGGCCGAGGGCTAGCACATGGTACATCAATATTGATTTTATTTCTGCTTATTAAAATCCTAATTAAAACATGTCTTTAGAAGCTTCTTCCCACCCACATTTGGCCTTTGGCAGCTGGGCTTCTCACCTGTTCTGCCCTCTCCTGTGACCCTGTTGCTGAGATCTCCACTGTGAGTTACCACGCATAGCGTGTATTTCCTTCCAGGAATGAGCCCAAGGAAACGCCACTCTGTCAGGCTCTTGTCTTTCCAGTTTTCCTTCTTTGTGCCATTGGGGTTATAGAGAATCAGCTCATAGAAGTCGATGTCCCCAGAGGCTGGGTTCCAGCTGAACCAGAGACTGTCTGTCATGTTCCGATTGGATCCCTTCAGGTTACTCACTGAAGCTGGGACTTAAACAAAGAGAGGGAAAACCTTTACTAAGAACAAAGCAGTTAGTAACAAAGGCATTTGGGCCCACAGGTGAAAATAAAAGCTATGTTGGGCATACAGGGGAGTAGTACCCACTGTACAGTCAGGCCTGCCTACATGTCAGGTCACTTAAGTTTAGGGGCATGTGGTGTAGAGACATGGTACAAATTAAAATAAAGTGAAACACAACAGCTGGTAACTTCCATATGCTTGCCACATGTGATAAATATATAAAATGAAATCTCCAGAAAACATTAATTGAAACTGGTCAAATGGTTTATCACTTAGTTTATAAAAGGCCCTGCAAGTGTTCATAAAAGCTTCCAGCCCCTTTCGGTCCGGCCCATCTCACTTGTGGCCACCATCCCATTACATCCCTGTCTGGGTCTCTTTACTTCCTCTCCTCCCTCTTTTAGGTTCTTAGTTCTTTCATGCTCATTCCTACCAAAATCTGTATTGGTAGAACCTCCTTTGGAAAAAGAAGTAACAGTCACATCTACCATTGTATAAATGAGTCACACTGGTACCTGTCCTGTGGGTATTAAGGCTTCGTTATTCTTTGGAGAATGAAGACTGTTGTCCCTTTTTGGAAAAGCTTCAAACATTAATGAGCAGATAAAGAGGCACAAAGGGCAGATTGCCCTGGAAATGGCAACATCTAGGCAGTTCTACTCATGGTCTAAGCTTATCCACTGCTCTTTTTCATTCCCTTCAGAAAACCAACTGTGGATCTCTGTTGGGTGCCTGGAACGTGCTCTTCCCATGGCCCCCCTCGCCTTCAGATCTCAGCAGAAATGCCTTTTCTGCCTAAAGTAGCTTCTTGTCCTGCTAAGTTGCTCTGTGTCACAAAGTGCTGCTATTTCCTTCCTAGGATTGAAGGCATTTCAAAATCATCTCCTCTGAGAATCTGCTGCTGCAGCCTCTCCCTCTGTCTCCATCCCTCTGCTAAGGGCTAGCTCTTTGGGGCTAGGGGCCTTGTCCATCTTGTTCACTGTGCTATTCCAGCAGTGAGACAGGTCCTGGCACACAAGGGCCCTCAAAAACTACTGTCAAATGAGAAAAAAATTGAAAAGAGAAATGAGATAATGGACTCAAGTTATGGAAAAAGAGTAGATTCAGTTTCTTATTTGCAGCTCAGAGAGCAGTCTCTCTCTCTCTCTCTCTCATTTTCCTGGAACCTTCTGTGTTCATTTCATCTCGTGTGGTGTTTCCAATTCCAGAAACATTCTTTGGGAATGTCATTGCTTATTGATCCCATGTGTAGGGGCCCTCTCTGGACCTGCCCTTCACTCTAGCCATTTCTTGCAGAGAGCTGAAGGGCGCAGCTTAAACTGAGCTATGATGGGTTACAACCCTCTTGCGGCAGTTTGCTGGCAAGTAGAGAAGCCAGATTCATTTCTCACTAAACCCTATGAAGTGAGCAAGTGGAGGCAACAGAGCAGAGGCCAGTGCAAAAACTATTCTGATATACAATCACAGATCTGATTTGTGGTCAGAAAGCCTGAAGGTCACCAATTTCAGATGAAGCTAGACCCTGGATAGAATAGGAAATGAGGGACAAGTCAAGGGAAAGCCATGGAATATGAAACGAAAGACCCGCTATTCCTCACTGCTTGGGTCCGGGTCTTACCTGTTCTACCAAATATGAAAGACTCATTCGACAGCTCCCCACTGTGAGTTACAATCACCACTTTGTACATTCGACCTTGTAGCAAGTTCTGGAAAGAGAAGGTCTGGACCTGTGGGTCAACATGGGCTCTCTCCTGAAGAGTTCGGTCGGGGTTGTACAGAAAGATGTTGTACCAGCTGAGCTCCCCCTCAGAGGTGGTCCAGCTGAAGGACAGGTGTCTGGTGGAGTTCTCTGTGATCCGCAGATTGGTGACAGCTGCTGGGACTGGAAAAGCCAAGGAGCAAAAGATTGAGAGGAAGTGTGGCAAGTCCCTGGCACAGCCCCAAACTGATGCATGGCTAGACACACTCAAATGGCAGCTCCAAACACATGGTCCCTGCCTTTCAAAAATATTGACTTCATGGGGACCCTGAAGCAAAAGCAGAGAAATCTGAATTTTGCAAATTACTGATGCTGAAACTGTTAATTTTAAAAAATAAAACAAGTGAACAAAGAAAAACTAGTAATGGTAAATTATCTGCAAGGACATTTTTGGGGTATAAAATAAATGTTAATGTGACCCATGTGACTGTTTTTCTAATACTAGGAGGTAAATCAGAGATCAAAACTTGTCTCTGAGTGCCAACTAAGGGCCAAGAAATGGCTGCTGGAGGAAAGGGCAGTGAGCAGGAAAGAAAGGGTGGGAAAGAAAGGGTGGGAAAGAAAGGGAAAAGCAGACAGAAAAGGGAAATTAGAGATCCAAGGATATGGGAAATAGAAGCAAGGGGAAAGCCAAAACCAGTTGTTACAAAAAGGTTTCCACTAGGATTTTGCAATCCCTTTGGCCTTCACTGTTACCTGCTGCTGGGAAGTCAAGTGCCACCAGAAACCGCCTGCTTCCAGACTGCTGGCCTGGATGCTGCCGGACCCCATGGAAGTGTTAGGACGCCGGTGGAAACAGAGCAGGACATCTGTCTGGGTCTCCCCTGGGTGCTCCCCCCTCCACTTCCTCTTTTGCTTTCTCCTTCTCTTTATGTCAGGCCCTTAAGAGTTGGCATTTCCCCTGGTTCTGCCCACTGTCCTATTAATATTCTATAACACTAGCAGAGCAGTTAATCTCATTTGCTGTATGGATTGCTCTGGTCTGAGCATTTGTGCTCCACCAGAATTTGCATGTTGAAACCCAACCCCAGGGTGATGGTATTAGTGGGTATGGCCTTTGGAAGGTGCTAAGGTCATGAGGGTGGAGTGCTCATGCATGGGGCCAGTGGTCCTATAAGACTCCAGAGGGCTCTCTTGTCCTCTCATCGTGTGAGAACACAGTGAGAGGTGCTGTCTGTGAACCAATGTCCTCACCGGACACCAGGTCTGCTGGTGCCTTGATCTTGCACTTGCAGCCTCCAGACTGTGAGAAATAAATGTGTGCCATTTAAGTCATTCAGTTTAAGGCATTTTTGTTATAGCAGCTCGAACAGACTAAGACATAGATTTAACTGGAATTTTTGCCTAAATCTTTGTCACCACTCACGATATTCCACATGGACTTACGTGAGACGGGCACATATTATCAATGCCCTACGATCACCTCTCCTTGCTAGTCAGCCAGACATCACACACTTGGTACAGAACTGGGTTCCCTATTTCTCCTTGAGCCTTCCTCCCCCTGCTTCTCTTTCTCAGTTAAGGGCATCATCTTCTACAGGGACTCCCCTGTTCCCCCTTTGATACTCCATACAGCCACCAGGTGCCATCCTATCTTAGGCAAAAACATTCCAGGGCCATATCTACTGTCCTTTCCTAGGGCATTAATTGAACTTCCATCCTTACGGTTTCTGTGGCTGCACCTGTCTGATGACCCCAGTGACCTTTCTGACCACACCCCCCACCTTGTTCTTGCTTACTCCGCTCCAGCTATACTGCCTTCATCACAGGCGGGACACACTCCTCTGTCTGGGTCTCTGCCTTATCGTTTGCTCTTCCCCAGATTTCTGCATGACCCTTTTGCTCATTTCTTTCAGATCGTACTTGAATGTCAACTTTCTCAACAGAACCTTTGAGGACCATACTATCTAAAACTATGGACCTCTAACACTTGCTATCCCACTTCCCTGTTTTAATTTTCCCTTTGGTATTTATTATGATCTAACCTACTGTATTTTTTACTTATTTCTTTTGTTTATTGCCTTTCTCTCCTACTAGGATATAAGCTGCATAACCATGAGGGTTTGTTTTATTCACTTCTGTGTGCCCAGCATGTAGAATAGTGCACATAGTAGGTACTCAGTAACAGGTCTCCTCACCTCTGGTCTCTTCTCCATTCAATCAATCCCCCATTACTGTCTCATTTATCTTTGTTAAGGCATACATTTTTATTACAAAACATTCATCCTGTGGCTGAAAAACTTTTATGGTCTCCTTACTGCTGAGATATGAACAGCACACTCCAGGGGAAGGCCCCCAGCAGTGTCATCTGGCTCCAGTCCGCCTCTCCAGCCTCAGCTCTCCATCCAGCACCCAGTCGGCCCACCCACAACTTCTCCCCGATCCCCCCACGCCTCCCTGTCTCAGCACATGACCGTCTGTCTGCACAGGTGTTCTCCCCCTGTGGAAAATTGCTTATCCTTCATGACATTACTGACATGTCACTTTTCTTGCCTATTCCACCTGACCTCTTTGTCCCCTTTGAGGTTGGACATTCCTCTCATATATAATCCTGACCACAATGTACTGTCATTATTTGTCCATGTGTCTGTCTTCCCCACTCCCCCACTACCTCACTTGGCTCTTCTAGGACAGGAAGTGCGCCTAATTCACATTTATGTCCCTTTCAATGTCGCTTCCCTTCAAGCCTAGTTGCTTAATAAGTAAGCCATCAATTAGACCAGCGTTGCTGTCTGAATAATGCCCCCCAAGATGTCTGTGTCCTAATTCCTGGAATCTGTGAATATGTTAAGGATCTTGAGATGGGGAGTTTATCCGGGGCTGCCTGGGTGGTGACCAGTGTAATCACAAGAGTCCTTAAAAGATGGAAGAGGGAGGCAGAAGGGTAGAGAAGGAGATTTGGTGACAGGCAGACACAGGGATTGAAGGGGTTCATGAGCCAAGGAGAGTGAGTGGCCTCCAGAAACTGAAAGGGGCAGGGAATGGATTCTCTCCACCAAACGTCTAAAGAAATGCAGGCCTGCTGACACCTGACACCTCAATTTTAGCCTTCTAAGACCTATTTCAGAGTCTGACCTCCAGAACTATAAGATAATAAACTGGTGTTGTTTTAAACTGTTAAGTTTGTGGTGATTTATCACCACAGGCTGGGAGCTTTGGGGCTGGGTGCACACCAAGCCTCCCTCCTCGGGCCACTGGGCCTTGGGTTCCTGCTCCCGCTTCAGGTCTGGTTCCTCCCAGGCCCCTTACTGTGGAGACAAAGACAGGGGCAGAATGAGGGAAGAGGAGGCGTGGAAAGCCCCGACCCTTCTGCCACCCTGGGGTTGGGGCCTCATCCCTCTGGTGGGCCCCAGGCAGGAGGTAGAAGCTGCAGGGGCTGGCTTTTTAAAAACTAGTTTGATTTTAATTTTTATTATGTAATCAGTTTTTCCATAAAGGAACCAATTCCAACTCTGTTAAAAAAAAAACAACTAATAGAGCAAGTTTTAACAAAGAATTCGAATCAGAGAGTGAATGACCTGACTGATAGGAAAGTGGTAAATCATAGTGAATGTTCCTAATGTGTCAAGAAATATATATCATCTCCCAATGTTTCATCCCTCTGGCCCCACGGTGCTTCAGAAAGAGCAGACAAGGAAGGATCTGGGATGAAGTAGGAAGCTGTGCAAATTACCTGTTCGGCCTTCAGTCTGGGCTTCCTTGCTAAAGAGGCCTCCACTGACAGTTAGGATCTGTACCTTGTATTTCTTTCCCGGGGCTAGGTCTTCAAATTTGTGCTGCTTTGTGGTGGCTGGCTCTGATGTGTTACTCAGAAGGATCCCATTTTCATTTAGAAGCAGGATATCATATCTCTCTGCCACACCAACAGCTTTTTGCCAACTTACTATCAAGGAATGGCTGCTGTATGCATTGTCTGCAGTTATTCCCTGGACCGAAGCTGGGACTGCAGGGAAAAAGCAGAAGCAATGGCTGTCAGGTTCCATCACTGAGGGTCAAGTAACCAAATGAAAAAAACTGTCCTGAATCAACTTTGGGTAGAAGATGATGCATCCACTTATGTTTCATTAATGCTTCCCATGTCCCTGATGAGAAAGTTATTTCTTGGCTTGAATTATCTGTTAACTACTTTGATTCCACTTTTTCCTCTGAATTCAGACAGGAACTTTAAGTCAAACAAGTAGAAAAATTAGTGGAAGTAACACTGATAAATATGCAAAGTGATGCATGACTGTATCTCTAGAAAGAGGAGGGATGCTGAGCAAATTTACATTCAGTGACTATAGTTTGGATGACTCAATTATGTTCCAATACTAGTTTAAGTGAAAGTGTCAAGCTTTGACCTAAGCAATATTATATAATTATTCATGTATATATGTGTGTGTGTGTGTATTTTTTTTACTATGGTTCCTGTGGCAAAATAGTATTGTTAATATTTCCTGTCCTAGGCTCATATTGCTCCTCATTCTACATAATCTCCTTGGGAGCTCTCCTCCACTGCTGTGGTTTGAATTGTTACCTATGTGGTGAGGACTCCCAAACTTGAACTTTCAGTTCAGATGTCTATTTTTGCCAGTGATGTCTCTCCCTGAATGTTCCACAGACACCCAACTCTCAAGACGCCCAGCTGGAGTTCTCATCTCCCTCCCCATAACCTCCTTACTGTTCTCTGTTTCTGTCTCTTGGCCCAAGTCAGAAACTTAGGTTGTTATCCGCACCCTTCCACATATAATCAAACATGAGTCTTGCAGTTTCTGCCTCCTAAATCTTGTATCCCTTGAATCTATCCACTTCCCTCCTTCTCTCCTGCCATCACTCTAGGACACACCATCCATTGCATCCATTACTGCGAGCCTCTTGGCCGGGCCCCTTGCTTCCCCACCTGTGTCTCAAATGCCCACTGCATCTGGCATGTTTTTGCAGCACGCCCATGTGAGGCCCTTCTATGGCTCTCCACAATTCTAACCACTGTAACAAGGCACATGAGGCCATTCATAATTTGGTCCATCTACTTTCTTGGCCACGTGGTTCACATTCGTTGTTCTAGCACACCAAATAGTGTGTAGGGCCTCGAGTGTGTTATGCTTTCTCTCATTTCCAGGCCTTTGCTTTGTCTGCTGGAGCCAACATACACTCCTCTAGGATGACTTTTTAGTGTCTTACTCAAATGCTACTTCCTCCTAGAAGCCTTCCCTGACTATTGTTTGCTCCTGTTATGTCCCATAATTACATTTATTTTAGCCCTTATCATATACTGTAATTGCCCTTTTATTTTTCTATCTCCTTCATTAGATTATAAGCTTCTTGAGGTCAGGGGCTCTATCTTATTACTAAATTATCATTTTCTAACCTAGTGCTTGACAAATGGTTGGTGATATACACATGTGAAATAAAGCCTAAGTAGGGCACAGTATTGAAGTCCAGACCGCTCAACTAAATAAGTGGTCATGAGAATGAAAATCATCTAGTAAGTATTGTACTGCAGTAGAGAAGTTTGGAGCCAGACAGATTTAGATTGAATTATAGTTTTGGTCTTATTGCACTTATCCTTGACAATGTTTCCTAGACTTTCTGAACCTTACTTTCCTCATTTGTAAGATGGAAATAATGATCTCTACCTTGTAGTGTGACTAGAGAAAACTTTAAATGCCTGGCATATAGCAGGTGCTTGCAGCTCATGTTTGTTTTAAATGTAATATATTAACAGTTTTATGAATATAAATAAACAGGTACATTATTCATTCATTACTTGTTCTTTAACTATCACAGGTGAAGTAAATGGCATAGGTATATTTTTTCTTCCTTAAAAAAAGAATTTGAGAAAGCAGTAAAATTTTTAAAACTGCATAGTTTTAGAAGTTGGCTTGTTAGATTTAAAAATTTTGTTATCTTCTAGAAAGCATAAAGATGTATTCAAATGATTTGGCTTCTAATTCGTATGTTTTGAAAATCTGTTAGGAAAGAAAAATGCAAAGAAAAAATATGAGAAAGGCTCTTGAAACCACATTGAATTGTACAAATATTTTGAATTTCAGGTATTTTTGACGTGTGAATAGCTAAGCCCATCCATTGACCTGTTGAGGAGAACAGTTTGACTCTTCTCCAGGCAGACACTCACCTGTCCGGCCGACTGCGTCTACCTGGTTCCTCAGGGACCCGCTGACCGAGGCAATCACGATCTGGTACTGTTCCCCCGCCTCCAGCCTGTAGAACGTGTGTTCAGAGACGTGCTTGGGGAGAGTCTGAGACTCAACCTTTTGGTTCTGCCTGAACGCAGACACTGTGTAGGAATCAACATCTCCCCCACCAGGAGTCCAGTTCACTGTCAGGCTGTCTGTTGCCCCACTGGGAGAAATGTGAATATTTTTGACAGCACTAGGTACTAAAAAAGAAAATAAATATAAAGCCATCACTTCGAGGATGAAATGTGGACATTTTCAACCAAGATTTTTGTGCTTTTTATATTTTGGCACCTACTGAAAGAACACACATGGGAAAAAATTGGTATCAATTTACCATTTTTCTCTAACTTTTATGCCTGAACTGGAGTTGATAGGGTAAGTTTAGAGGGATATCGAGGCCGGTGAGTAGAAATGAAGAGAGCCGGTAAGAGAGTGATGGGCTAGTTAGGTCACTTTGGTCCGAGTCCTGGTTTTCTCATTTAGGAATTGAGGACTGTGAAGAAGGACTATAGGAAGATTATCTCACCTGTGTAAGTTTCAGTTTCCTCATCAGAAAGATGGCAATGATAATAACAATTACCAACCCCTAGGTTGTGAGAACTGAACAAAAGATATATGTAAAGTGCTTTGCTGCGAATCTGGTAAATGGTAAACTGTCAATACATGTTAAGTATCCTAACAAGGACTCCAGTCAGAGTCCCAAAGAAGGGATACCCAACAGAGCTATTTACATTTAACCTACAGGCCTTAGAAGCACCATTAATTGCATCAATTCAGTGCTGTTTCTCTGAAAGTTTTGATGTGTGAATAGCTAAGTCCATTTATTGTCCCATCATGGAGGGTACTTTGACTCTTCTCCAGTCGACACCCCTACATCATACTTTACTTTTGTAATCCAGCTTGGATGACATCATTGTCACTATCGAGCTAACCTCCCTTCTTGCCATCTCATCTTTACCCCCTCTGAATCCTCAACCAAAACGCCTCGCTAGCTGACATGCCATATACACCACTACATCTACTCAGGTTCAAGAGCCATATTTCAAATTACCCGTGAAGCCCTCAATGAAGGCTGACTGCTGTACATCTCCACTGATCGTCAAGACAAGAATTTTATACTGGCGCCCTGGTGTTAGGGAATGCTTGGGGAGAGTCTGAGACTCAACCTTTTGGTTCTGCCTGAACGCAGACACTGTGTAGGAATCAACATCTCCCCCACCAGGAGTCCAGTTCACTGTCAGGCTGTCTGTTGCCCCACTGGGAGAAATGTGAATATTTTTGACAGCACTAGGTACTAAAAAAGAAAATAAATATAAAGCCATCACTTCGAGGATGAAATGTGGACATTTTCAACCAAGATTTTTGTGCTTTTTATATTTTGGCACCTACTGAAAGAACACACATGGGAAAAAATTGGTATCAATTTACCATTTTTCTCTAACTTTTATGCCTGAACTGGAGTTGATAGGGTAAGTTTAGAGGGATATCGAGGCCGGTGAGTAGAAATGAAGAGAGCCGGTAAGAGAGTGATGGGCTAGTTAGGTCACTTTGGTCCGAGTCCTGGTTTTCTCATTTAGGAATTGAGGACTGTGAAGAAGGACTATAGGAAGATTATCTCACCTGTGTAAGTTTCAGTTTCCTCATCAGAAAGATGGCAATGATAATAACAATTACCAACCCCTAGGTTGTGAGAACTGAACAAAAGATATATGTAAAGTGCTTTGCTGCGAATCTGGTAAATGGTAAACTGTCAATACATGTTAAGTATCCTAACAAGGACTCCAGTCAGAGTCCCAAAGAAGGGATACCCAACAGAGCTATTTACATTTAACCTACAGGCCTTAGAAGCACCATTAATTGCATCAATTCAGTGCTGTTTCTCTGAAAGTTTTGATGTGTGAATAGCTAAGTCCATTTATTGTCCCATCATGGAGGGTACTTTGACTCTTCTCCAGTCGACACCCCTACATCATACTTTACTTTTGTAATCCAGCTTGGATGACATCATTGTCACTATCGAGCTAACCTCCCTTCTTGCCATCTCATCTTTACCCCCTCTGAATCCTCAACCAAAACGCCTCGCTAGCTGACATGCCATATACACCACTACATCTACTCAGGTTCAAGAGCCATATTTCAAATTACCCGTGAAGCCCTCAATGAAGGCTGACTGCTGTACATCTCCACTGATCGTCAAGACAAGAATTTTATACTGGCGCCCTGGTGTTAGGGAGGTGAATCGATACTCGGTTGCGGTATTTACAAGGTGAAAAGGAGGAAATACTTTCATATCATTGAAGAGCAGCTGGATCTCATACTGGTCAACATCCCCGTCAGCTCGTGACCAGGTCACCTGAAGGTCCTCAGTGCTCCTGTTCCTCAGCGTGAGATTCTTAACAGGCTCTGGGACTAGGGAGGAATAGAAGAAGACATTTCAGGAGAGTGGCTGGTCAGAGTTTACCTACACAATGACTTACGAGTCATATTCAAGGAAATGGCAAACATTTCCCTTCCCCAAAGAAACTACTTGAATTACTTCATGCATGATTAAACAAGAAAAATTGGAAGCAACCATTAAAATTGTAATATTTTTTCTTGACATAAATCTTATATGCTAAATGCTGGTACAATATAATTATAAAATGAGTTATTAGCTCAATCATAAGAAAAGTCTAGAACTTTAAATGCCACAATGCAGGTAGACAGAGAAGAAAAATGGAACATCTGGCCTTCTTGCTCCCCTACTATGTTTGCTTTATCTACCGATAAATATTCTGTAATTACAGGCCATGGCTTGGCTGAAGGATGTGGGACTCCAAGTGGGACTTACTGGGAATATAATGTACTGATCGGTAAACAGAGAAAATCCAATGTTCAGATAATGTATTTTACTCAATGACCTTCACATCTGACCAACCATCAGATTTTGCAATCTTTACACTTACTTGTTCTCCCATTCCCTTGTTCACTGGCTTCATATTGTCCACTTCTCGTACTAACAGTGACACTGTACAACCGTCCAGGGACTAGCTTAATAAATACACACTCGTTTTCAGCCTTGGGAACAGTTTTGGTTTGAATGAAGTTGTTTTTGTTTTTAATGGTGACTTCATAGTGATCAAAGTCTCCAGTGGCATGCACCCAGGATACCTTTAAATAGTCACTCCTGGCTGAGTTGCTGACACTGACTCCCTGGACTTTGTCAGGCACTGAAAAAGAGAACAGAGAACAGCTAAAGATCTAGTGGTTCTAAGTGAGTAAGTGATCCCAGATGACAGCTTGGGACAATAAAGGTAAATGATTAGATTTCTGTTGTACGCATGTATAAGAAAAATTTTAGACCTTTAGAACACATTTCTGGAGGGGAAAGTTTATTATACCAGTTGGAGTGATTAAATGGATCTTTTAGCAGAACCTGATGAATTAATTCGAATGCTGTTGTTTGCTTACACAAAATATCATGTACAAGATGGAACACTGAACAGGCTAACTGATAATATGAATGACAGCAATGATATTAATAATTCCAACACACCTTGGTGGCTCAAGATGTGATAAAAAGGTACCAAAAAGAGTATAAACAATCCCAAAGAAAAATGGAAGAAAAGAAACACATCATTAATATATAAAAAGATGTCCAACATGATTGGTAATCAAGGAAATGCAAGTCAAGACCACAGTAAAATACCATTTTATATCCATTTGATTGGCAAAAGTAAATAACCTGATAAAACCTAGTGTGAGAAAGGCTTTCCATCCACAGGAAATTGGATGAATAAACTGGTATATATACACAGTGAAATATTATATGGCAGTAGTCATTAATTTCTTCTTAAAATACAGGAGGTGGAGCCAAGATGGTGGCATAAGTAGGACAGTGGGAATCTCCTCCCAAAAACATATATATTTTTTGAAAATACAACAAATACAACTATCCCTAGAAGAGAGACCAGAAGACACAGGACAACAGCCAGACTAGATCCACACCTGCGAGAACCCAGCACCTGGTGAAAGGGGGTAAGATACAAGCTGCAGCCCGGTGGGACCCGAGGCCCCTCACCCCAGCTCCCGGCGGGAGGAGAGGAGTCGGAGCGGGGAGGGAGAGGGAGCCCAGGACTGCTAAACACCCAGCCCTAGCCATCCTCACCAGAGCACAGACACAGTGCATGCGTGGGGTGCTGGAAACTAGGGAAACAGGACAGTAAGACCTTTGAGCGGGTCCCAAAGCCGGCACCCCTGGGACAAAGAAAAGCGAGTGCTTTTTGAAAGTCTTAAAGGGATAGAGACCCCAAAGCTGGACGGAAGCATCCCAGGTCACAGTCCAGCAGCTGGAAATTCCAGGGAACTCCAGG